GCAGTCATCCTCTCTCACAGTCTGAACATAGCCTGTGTTCTTTGGATCATCGTCGCCGACCTTGACTCTCCACCCACCCAGCTCTTTTCCATCCCAAATCTGGCTGGGTGTACTAGGGATTGTTTTTGCAGGCTGCTAGCGGGGGGAAGTGACATCATGTGTCCGCGGCCCAAGGGGTGGGGGCAGGGGCTCTGCGGTTGCGTGTGCTTTGAATTAAGTCGACGGTTGTGCATTCCAGTAGCCAACATCTGGCGGTGAATTCATCAGCCAGTGTATCACCCTTGATCTCAAACCCAGATGTTGTGTTAATGGAGGAAGGGAAAGAAGGAAAAACAAAATCTGAGCATCTCAGGGAGAGGCCATCGTCCTTGAGCACAAAGCAGTTAGAACAAGGATCTTTACAAAGCCTCCCGCTGCTGCCTCTGGTTCCTACGGCCAAGGAGCAGGCCAGGGGAGCTTAGGGGCTCACCCTGGTGTGGGGGGGTCGGGGTGGACAGGATGTGGGCTGGTCGCCCACCCCCAGGGCCAGACACTGGGCCCTGCACATAGTAGGTGTTCAGCAAATGTGTATCCGTGCCTGGATTTTCATTTCCTCTCGGGTTCTTTGGGTCTCCCTGGCTTTTTCCCAGCCCTGGTCTTGAAACAGCCTGGGATGAGAGGGGCCCATCTGTACTAGGAGTGGTCGCCCTCCCAGAGCTCTGGCGATGCCAGCGCCTGGGGTGTTGCGGTGCTGGAAATGCCTTTCTGGAGACCTCTCTGCCTCTTCCCCTTCTGCCGCTTAGGCTGGAAACCATGTGCTTCCCTGTGTCCCTGTCCATTGTCTGACTCCCTGCCTGTGCTGGATGCTCCTCGAAGGCCATCTCTGTTACCAGAGACCTTCCCACACCTTACCCCTCTCCTCCGTGGGCAGCAGGAGGAAGCTCATGCTTTTGGGATTTCACTTGAAACGCAGCTCATCCCCGAGCTCTGAGTCTGGCTGGTAAGCAATCCCCACTCTGGCCTCACGCTGGGGGCAGAAGGCTGAGGGTCAGAATGTCTGCAGCCAGAGTTGGCTGGGCTCCACCTGGATGCTGCCCCAGCCCTCCCTCCCTGTGGGGCCCCTCTGTCCTGTTTCCCCCAGGTCTTACCTTCAGCTTGCCTGTGGGACCCTTTGTTTTTTGGGTTTTGTTTTTTAAGATCTTATTTATTAATTAACGAGACACACACACACACACACACAGAGAGAGAGAGAGAGAGAGAGAGAGAGAGAGAAGGCAGAGACACAGGCAGACGGAGAAGCAGGCTCCATGCAGGGAGCCCGACGTGGGACTCGATCCCAGGACCCTGGGATCACGACCTGAGCCGAAGGCAGACACTCAACCCCTGAGCCACCCAGGCGTCCCAGATCCTCCAGTTTTGATGAATTTATTTGCCAAAGCTTTGCACGCGCCCTTCCCAACGTAGAGTGCTGAACCCCCACGGTCCCCGCTGCCCTGAGCGGCTCAGCAGCATCGGGCCTCACATCTGCACGGACAGGTGCATGCCCGGCATCTCTGCCTCACGCCCCATGGGTGTTGATGCTTCCGGAAGGTTTCCATAGAACTGGTCTTCTTTGGCTTCCCTCCATTCTCTTTCTTTCCTTCACATTATCTCTCGCTTTGCAAAGTGGACAGGAGGTTCCCACCCAGAACTGAGGACCCCGAAGGCTCTGGCGTTCTTGTTTTGCGGGGGACAAGCCCAGCTGGAGCTCCTCCGGCCCCCGCCCCCACTTCCCTGCAAGCAGCTGGCAGCCGGGGAGCCAGTTAACATTCTAGTCTCAACCCACGAGTCTACCCCTGGGCCCTGGATTCAACAAGTCCCTTTTTTCTGATAATTTAAAAAGCAAAGGGTGGGGGTGGGGGTGGGTTTGGAAGTGTGTGGTCTGTAGCCCCAAAGCCAGGCAAGCGTGTGGGGAACCGGCGGCAAACCCAGAGTCTGGGACTGGTGCTGGCCCGGAGGTGCGGTCTGGCCCCGGGCTCTCCGAGCCTCTCACCGCAGGAGGGGGAGACTTTGTGCCATTCTTTGCCACGGCACAAATTCTGTGTGCCAGGCACTGCACGTCACGTGCACCGCGTCCCCTGGTCCTCCCCACGGCCTGGGTGGGGGGTGAGGGACAGCTGGCCGCAGCTCAGCCTCTGCTGGGAGTGCTGTGCCTCCGTGAGGTCAGGGAGCTTCCCTGAGAACACAGTGTGGGGAGGGGGCCAAGCAGGGCTGCTGCTGCCTCTTCCCCATAAGGATTCGGACCGCCCGGGAGCCTCGGGGGCTTCTCTAGGAGAAAAATGCATGAGTCTGAATGCATGGAATGGACTGGAACCTGTGCGCTGAGAGCAGTGCCTGCTTGTCTTCCGATGGCCACAGGACCTGTTTTGGGTGAAGCGTTGTGTGGGGTAGCAGACGTCTGAAAAACAGGTGGAATTGGGTGTATCGTAGTAAAATCCAGCAGCGGGGCCCCCAGAACTCCTGTCTCCCTCGGATTTTCCTGGTTTATTTGAGCTCAGCAGCCAGGGACAGGGCTCCACCCCAGAGACGCCCGGGGCGTGCATCTGAGACGGTTCGTGATTTGCATCAACCCTCCTCACTGTGGCCTGGGCAGTAGGGTTCGGGTGAGGCAGGTAGTGAGAGAGACCGCGGACAGACTCCCCCGGGCTGCCCGGATGCGGCGGGGACAGCCCAGTTCCATCGGCAAAGGCCCAGTGGGCGCTGACTGTGGTCAGGACGTAGCCCCTGCCTGTCGAAGCGCCCTGAGCAGACAGGCGTACGTAACAGGGTGGGGGAGCGATGTGGAGTGTGCGGGTGCTGCTACGGAGGACGGGATTTCCCAGAGCAAGACAGGAAAGGGCTATTTTGCCTGGGTCTTGAGGGACGCATAGAAGTTTTCCAGGCAGGGAAGGTTAGATGGCATTTGGGGCAGAAGAGACTTGTGAGTCCAGAGGTGGGGACACCCCTGGGCAGGTTCGGACTCCAGGGACTATCCGGACTGTAGAACAGCAGGATGGGTGCGGCTGGGGCAGCGGAGACAGCTGCCGGCTGGCACCAGGTCGCACAGGGGCGTCCTTATTTTAGAGGAGGGCAGTGGGTGGCCGAGGAAGACGTTTGAGCCCGGAGGGATGAGGCTATAAAAAGTCTGCTGGCGCTGGGGGTGGAGAAGGGTGGGAGCCTGAGGAGTCACTGCAAGCAGGCTGACCTGCCAGCGAGGGGAGAGCCCTCTGCCCTGGGCCCCTGGGTGGCCAATGCCTAGATGTGGCTCTGCAGGTTTGGGCCGGGCTCAGCCTGGGAGGCAGGAACCTGCGGCCTCTGCCCATCGTGACTCAGCTCCAACAGAAGGAGACCTAAGAATGGGGTTTGGGCGGGGTGGGGGTGGGGGTGGCCTCTGGGGCCGGGTTGGGGCCAGGGGGGCATGGTGGGTGCACATGGGATCTGTGTGCATGCTGTGGGGAAGACAGCCCTGGCCAGCGTGGGGGTGGGGGGGCTACAAGATGTGAGCTGCCCCCGACCCGGGGCGGAGGAGGGAGGCGCCTCTGTGCCTGGCTCCTTCTGTTCTTTATTGCTCTGTTTTGCTTGCATCCGCATTCACATAACCCTCGCCCAGGGGACCCCGCACGGCTGGCCAAGCTGTGGAGGGCAAAGCTTTTAAAGCCATTAAAATGGGCCGTGCCCGCTGATATAAGCCTCAAAATGAATTAAGGGAGGGCTCTGCCCCAGTGACCGGGCCCTGCTGACTGTCACCTGGTCAGGCCGCGGGCTGGGTCCGGGTCCTGGCTTAATTGCTGGTAAGAAGGAAACCCTGTGGTGCATGGCCCATGAGTGGACGTTCCAGAACCTTCCCAGCCTGACCTCTTCCCGTCTCCTTCATCCTTGTGTCATGGTCTGGGACCGTTTTCTTTCTGTTTGGCCTCCTTCCTGGGCCTCTGTCCAGTGGGGCCTGTGAGCATTTCCTCACCCAGCTTGATGCCCTCTGGGGGGCCGAGCACTCTGACCCTTTGCCTGTCATGCCCCTGATAGAACGTGTTATTATTATTATTTTTTAATAAATGTTATTTATTTTGAGAGACAGAGGCAGAGACACAGGCAGAGGGAGAAGCAGGCCCCATGCAGGGAGCCTGACGTGGGACTCCATCCTGGGGACCCCAGGATCACGCCCTGGGCTGAAGGCGGCACTAAACCGCTGAGCCACCCAGGCTGCCCAGAACGTGTTATTATTATAAAGCATCGTCCGCGGGACATTTATCCGGGACGCCTTTAGGACAGATTAGGAGTAGTAGGATAGACCTTTCCAATATAAGACCCCCAAACCTAACTGTGATGGGGCCTCTTTGGAAGGCGGTTACCCCTCTGCTTGCAGCCTGGAAAAGCCTGTTTGCAGTAGGCTGTGGATGGAGGCTGGGTGGTAGGAAGCCACCATCCTTAATTATACGATGATTGCGGCCCAGTTAATTTGCTTATCTGCTTGCCCAGCCGCAGCCTACCCGTTCTTTGGAGAGAATTTTAAAAAGCCCCAAAGCACTTAGGCATGACATCAACAAAGAGCTTTATCAGTGACTACCCAGTAACCTCGCCACCACCACCGGTGAGACACCAGCCTTCTGCTTTGGGTCCCTGTCAACATTCTTTTTTTTTCCCAAAGATTTTCTTTATTTATTCATGAGAGACACAGAGAGAAAGAGGCAGACGCGGAGGGAGAAGCAGGCTCCACGCAGGGAGCCCGATGTGGGACTCGATCCCTGGACCCCAGAATCACGCCCTGGGCTGTAGGAGGACGCTCCACCCCTGAGCCACCCAGGTGTCCCACCTGTCAACATTCTTGCTGAAGAATCCTGGGACTGGAAGGGGTCTCAGAGCTTCACCCCTCGCCCCTGCCCCTCGCTGTGGGTGGGGTCCGACGCCCTGCAAGGGGCTGGCCTCATCGTGCCCCCCCTCACCCCGCCCCGGAGCCAGGATGGCACTGTGGCGGCTCCGCTCACCATCCTGTCTTTGTTTTGCAGTGATTAGGGCCAAAGCCGTCAGTGTGAAGGAGGTGGACTCTGGGAATGACATCTACGGCAACCCCATCAAGCGGATTCAGTATGAGATCAAGCAGATAAAGGTACCGGGCACCACCGCCAGGTTGCTGCCTGGGCAGAGCCTCGGGAGGGCCGGGAGCAAAGTTGGGCCCCCCCCCGCCCCCCGGGGAGGTGTCCTGCCTTCTTGAGGAACTCGGTACAGCCATCCCTTGAGCAGACTCGAGGGCTCCAAGCCACAGGTCAATCCAATTTTCCTTAATCTGTGACTTCCTGGAAAGTTGTGTGGACCTGCCGTGTTCCCGTCGACCAGGTCATTGCAGAAATGTGTCCTCTTCATTTTGGTGGGTAGTAAATTTGTGGCAGAGCCTCAGCATGGTTACGACGGTGGCCAGAGCTTCTGTGGAACATTCCGAGGGTGCCCGTCCTCAGCTGAGCCAGTGCGAGGTTCGAAGGCCCGAGAGCTTGGTCGTTGCATCTGGGAGCCCTCACTCCCACAAAGTGTGCCGTGGGGTCTCCCTCACCTGGTCAGCCTTCGAGTCTAATTTGAAGGAGGGGTCCCGTGGGCAGGTGTGGTGGGGGCCGGCTTCCCCGAGGAGGACGTGGAGCCCACGGCCCGGCCAGTGGCAGAGGGGATCCACCAGGTGGGAGCGGGACGGGCAGGCGTGGGGACCGAGGACTGAAGGGGAGGGGGAAGGGGGGAAGGTCAGTTGTTTCAGAACGTTGTCCATGTTCAAGGGCGAGGAGCCCGTGTTGGAGAGGAGACGGGGTGGGAGACGAGGTTGGAAGGACAGGACCGGCCGTGGAGGAAGGCGATCTTGTCGCAGTCACTGACTCCGTCCCCAGGGGAGGAGGACGTCCTAGGCGCTGTCCCTGGAGAGACGGCTTCATAAAGGCAGGAGTTGTCGCTGTCTGTGTTTTTTTTTTTTCAAAGATTTTATTTATTCATGAGCGACACAAAGAGAGAGAGAGAGAGAGAGAGAGAGAGAGAGAGAGAGAGAGAGAGGGGCAGAGACACAGGCAGAGGGAGAAGCAGGCTCCAAGCAGGGAGCCCGACGTGGGACTCGATCCCGGGACTCCAGGATCACACCCCGGGCTGAAGGCGGGCGCTAAACCGCCGAGCCCCCGGGCCGCCCGCTGTCTGTGTTTTTTTTTTTTTTTTTTTTTTTTTTTTTTTTTTTTTTTTTTTTTTTTTTTTTTTTTTTTTTTAAAAGCCTTTTATTTTTTTTTTTTTTAATTTTTTTTATTTATTTATGATAGTCACAGAGAGAGAGAGAGGCAGAGACACAGGCAGAGGGAGAAGCAGGCTCCATGCACCGGGAGCCCGACGTGGGATTCGATCCCGGGTCTCCAGGATCGCGCCCTGGGCCAAAGGCAGGCGCCAAACCGCTGCGCCACCCAGGGATCCCCGCTGTCTGTGTTTAATTGTGTTAACAAAGATACAAAGAAGCGGGGAACGCGTGTTATCAGGAGGTCCACGAAATGCTTACTCATTGCATCCGTGTCATTCGAGGGGCGACCTGCTCTCTCGGGGCCTAAGTCGCTACCCGAGGGAGAGAGAACGTCTCTGTTCTTGCGACCTCGTCGGGGCGTCCTGAAGAGGCAGGTGTTAACACCAAGAAGCATGTTTGGTCTCCGTGAAAGACGGCGAGGTCTCGGTGACGCGCGCTGTTGTCACCGTCGGCCTTACCTTCCCTGGGTGGGATGAGCCGAGCTCTTGCATCTCAGGATACTGGGATGGCCCCGTTTTATTGGGGTTTGCTTGTTGAAACTCCGCCCTCCCCCCCAAACCCCGCGCTAGTCACCTTGGGGCAGGCGCAGCAGAAATCCTCATGAAGCTCCGTGGAATCGCACAGCCCGAGAGTGTGCGTCCTCTGTCGCGTGGTCCCTGAGCGTGTGCGCTTTGCCCCTTCCACCTTCTCCCTCCCCCGCGCCCCCAGCTTCTGCTGGGCTGCATGCACCCCACGGCCCGGATGGAGGGATGGAGGGCCGTCCTCAGCGCACACTCATGTCCCCAGCTGTCACTATCCCCACCCAGTGGGGCAGCAGGGACCCCCGGCCGTGGCGGGAACCCTCCATCTGGGTGGCAGGCTCATCCCCAAAGCACCGTCAGTAGAGGAGCAGTTGAGAAGTCAAACCCCACTGGCCCCTGGAGTCATAGCCATGGTGCCTCCCCCATCAAGTAGCCAACCCTTGATCAAAGTTCCTGCCAATACCCTAAGGAAGTGGTCCTCCCCGATGGGTCGGAGTCACCTGGAGATACACGGGCCTCTCTGCGGGGCGGGGGGCGGGGGACGCGGACTCTGTTGGCCGTGGGGGCCGGCTCTGCTCACATCTCACCTTCGTCTTTCCAGATGTTCAAAGGACCAGACAAGGACATAGAGTTTATCTACACGGCTCCTTCCTCTGCCGTATGCGGGGTCTCTCTGGACATCGGAGGGAAGAAGGAGTATCTCATTGCGGGTACGTAGATGGATGTGCACGTGGCACGTTCTTAGAGGCCGTCGGGGGTGTTGTGTCCAGGCCCCCAGGGCTGCGGGGAGCCCGAGGCACCACGGGGCTGTCCCGAAGCCTCCGGGCTTCCCTGCCTCTTCCCATCTGAGAATTCCTGGTGGATTCTCACCTGCCCCCCACAACGGGGGAACCAGGGTGCCTTGATGGGGACACACGTAAATCCGTATCCACAGGTGATGCGAGGTCGGGGCAGACACCAAGAGGTGAGCATTTTTGCCTTTTGCTCCTAAAAGGGAGGCACCTGCCAGATGCTGGAAATGTTCACCGCTGGGCGGGAGGCGAGGAAGAGTTAAAAAAAAAAAAAAAAAAAAAACGTTAAATTTGCTATCAGGATGTCCTCTACCTGTGCAGCAACTTTGTCCATCGCCTCTTTCTTTTTCTTTTTCTTTTCTTTTCTTTTCTTTTCTTTTCTTTTCTTTTCTTTTCTTTTCTTTTCTTTTCCTTTTCTTTTCTTTTCTTTTCTTTTCCTTTTCTTTTCTTTTCTTTCTTATCACAGTAAAATATACGTAAAGTCTGCCGTCTTAACTATTTTTAAGTGTCCGGTTCAGTGGTGTTAAGCACATTCCCGCTGTCGCACGGCAATACCACCATCCCTCCCTCCTTTCATCTTATAAAACCGAAACTCTGTCCGCAGGAAACACCAGTTGCCCAGTCGCCTCCCCCGGCCCCTGGCGCCCACTGTCCTACTGTCTGTCTTGGGATTTGGCTCCTCTGGGGACTCCCATGGAACTGGAATTAGACAGTGTTTGTCCTTTGTGACGCTGACTTCACTGAGCATCACGTCCTCCAGGTTCCTCCACGACGTAGCAGGGGTCAGGGTGTCCTTCCTTCTGAGGCTGAGCAACAGGCTGTTCTGGGGAGAGACCACGGCTGAGATTCGGGACCGGGTCATTCTTCACCGTGGGGCTGTCCTGTGCAACATCCCTGGCCTGTACTCGCTGGTTGCCCCAAAATCCTTCCCTGAGTTGTGGTGTCTCCAGACATCCCCAAATGCCCCTGACGGTCCCCTCGGTCCCCAAGTCAAGACCCACTGGTCTAATAGGGATGATGGAAATGCTGCATGTGCTGCTGTCTAGCTGGCGGCCGCTCCCCACGTGTGGCTACTGGGTGCTCAGAAACCAGGGCTCTAATTTAATTTCATTTCAGTTGGTTTCTGTATACGTGTAAGCGGCGATGTGCAGCTGGCGGCCGCAGGACTGGCCAGTGCTGTCTTGGTCAGGCCGGAACATCACTGCCCTCTTTCTGAGGAAATAGGAGTCGGGTCGCAAACTTGGGAAGAGACGGGGGTGGAGGGGACAGCTCCCCTAGTCTGGCATTATGTTTTGTGATACAAGCCAAATGTAATCATAGAAGTACATTCTGAACCCAAAATCTCTGTGATTCGGGGGATTTCCTTCTGTTTGGATTCTTTGTACTTTTTCCCCCATTCATGGAGAATTCTTTTTTTCATGGGGAATATTTTATTTATTTTTAAAAAGATTTTCTTTATTCATGAGAGACACAGAGAGAGAGGCAGAGACACAGGCAGAGGGAGAAGCAGGCTCCATGCAGGGAGCCCGACGTGGGACTCGATCCCGGGTCTCCAGGATCAGGCCCTGGGCTGGCGGCGGCGCTAAACCGCTGAGCCACCTGGGCTGCCCATGGAGAATATTAAAAAAAAAAACAAAAAACAAACAAACACATGCTTAGTGGGTGCCCACTAGGTGCCTTGCACTGCACCTGGTGTGATGGGAGTTCAACAGGAGAGCTCCTCCCGGAGGGAAGTGCACACATGTTCCCACTGTGGGGGCAGGAGAAGAAACTAGAGAATAAAATAGTTTTTTTGGGGGGGTGGGTGGGGTGGGGACTGTGAGCATCAAGCAAGTGCTCGGGAGGAAGAGACCATCTCGGGTGGCAGGTGCAAGCATAGGCTGTGCCTCGGGCGCCTGGGGGTCCCTGCCGGGGGTGGGGGGACGGAGAGGATGCAGTGGGGAGCGAGTGGGGCAGAGGACATGGGGCTCACCTCTCCTTGGGTAACACCTCCCTCCCTTACAACGCTCATGCTCAGCATCCATGTGACTGGTTCCATCAAGATTTCTGTCCCTTTCCTTGGGGATGATGGGAGATTTTTTTTTCCTTCTTTTATGGGCACTTCTGACCTTTCTAAAGGTTTTCTTAAGAGCACCTACTATTTCTTAAGTTTTATTGAGCTATAACTCGCACAACACACCATTCACCCATTTAAAGGGCGTCATTCAGCAGTTTGGGTGATTCATCAAGGTGTGCGCAGCCACAGCCACGGTTGGAGAACCCTGTACCCTTCAGCCGTTTTACCCCCCCCCCGGCCCCCACTCCTCTCACCCCAGCTCCAGCAACCACCAGTCTGTTTTCTTTTTCTTTCTTTCTTTCTTCTTTTTTTTTTTTTTTTTGACTCTTTGAGTTTCCCTATTTCTCAGTCCTGTGAATGGAACTGTAGACTCTGGTCCCTCGTGTCTGGCGTCCGTCACTCGGCACAGTGTCCAGCGCGGCATTTTAAAAGTTCATCCACGTTGTGGCGTGAGTCAGAACTCGACTCCTTTTTCTGGCTGAATGCTATTTCATTGACTGGATAGACCACAGTGTGTCTCCCCACGTGTCACCTGGTGGACATTGGGGCTGTTTCCACCTTTGGGCTCGTGTGCACGACGCTGCTCTCAGCTCCCATCAAGTGTTTGCGTGGCTGTGTTTTCATCCCTCTCGGGCCACTGCGTAGGAGTAGAATTTCAGGGCATATGGTGACTATGTTTAATCGTTTGAGGAACTGCCAGACTGTTTTCCAAAGCAGCTGCACCATTTTACATTTGCAGTATCTACTATTTTTACAGTAAGAAAAACAAAGTCAACCAGAGAGAGAGAGAGAAAGAGAGGGATGGGGACAGAATCACGAAGCAGGGACCTTCCTGACGGTGCTGTCCCCGTGATACGGGGGACGACAAGGCAGGCAGGTGCCCAGAACACGTGGCGCGTGAGGTGCGGGCCCACAGGGAAGGCCGTTCAGGGGACCCGGGTCCGTGTGTGCACGGGACCATCAGCGTCAGTTTTGTCTCCTTTTGATACGTCCCCGTATTGGTGACATTTTGCAAATGACATCTATTGCTTTTAGGGTCAGAAAAATAAACCCTGGAGAGAAGGGGAAGGAGACGAGTCCTCCCATGGTGCAGGGAACTTGCTGCCCTAAGGAATCAACGGCCTCCTCTCGGTTTCAGCACCTGGTTTTGTGCAGGTCCCTGAGGACTAAGAAGGGGCACCTGGCCCCGGGGTCGGGCTCCTCGCACCGCCCTCTAGAGGCCTCCGGCCAGACTGCAGAGCTGCTCGCAGAGGGAGCGAGGACCCCAGGTCCCACCCCGTGGGCTCCTGGGTGGGAAGGTGACCTAGGTCTGGGTTCACACACCAGGCTTCACGTCGCCCTGTTCATGGAAATAGGAAAATGCCCCTTTCCTGGCCCTGCCGGTCTCTAAACGCTCCTCGCGTGGGTTCTGTTCAGTCCTCACAGCTCCTTACGGTGAAGGTGCTGTTCTGGTCCCCGTTTTACGGATGAGGGAATCGGAGGAGTAGAGAGGTGAACAGTGTGTGCCCGGTCCCGTGGTGTGTGCCCGAACCCGCTTTCACACACCGATTGTTAAATTCTGCTTGATGTCTCTCTCCCTGGTGCCTTGAAGGAAACCAGGGTGCGAGTGTTCGTGGCGCGGATTTGGCAGGTGCCGAGCGCTGGGGCTCTCTCTCCTGGGGGTGGAGTGGGAGCCGGTTGTTAGGCATTTCCCAGCACACCCGCGCCTGGGCCACGCTGCCAGGAGGATCTTCCTGGCCCCCAGGCCTCTGATGCTCTGCTGTGGTCCAGGTTTTAGAAATCTCGTGGCTCCGGCATCTAAGCCAGCAGCCATCCACCTGCACAGCCTGTTGGACTCCCTTGGGGTGTTTGTTAGATGTCCTGGATCCCAGGTGGCACTGTAGACCAGTTCCAAGCAGGATCTCCAGGGATGTGGCCTGGGCATCCGCATTTCTGAAACTCCCCAGGAGAGACCAGTGTATAGCTGGTGGCGAGAGCTGGCATCTAACCAGAACCTTCCCTGCCCTGGGTCAGAGACAGAAGACCTTTCATTGCAGAGGGCTGAGCCCCAGCAGCCGAGGTCTGTCACCGCCTTTACAGAGGTGCCTCCGGACATTATTTTCATCTCCTGGGGCTCTTTGTGGTCACTCAGTCCTGCCTCTTGTCCAGAGATCCTGAGGACCCTGGCGCTGCCTTCTATTCCATGAGATGGACAGGCCGGACTGTAGGGACGACAGCCCAGAAGATGGATTGTGTCCAGCAGTCAGGAGCCCCAGCATGTCGTGTCTGCCGAGTATGTGGCTCAAGTCCCCTCTCCCTGTCCCACGGACCATGAAGCGTGCGAGGAAGCCACGTGGCTGCTTAGAAAGTGTGGGTGCAGAACAAGAGCTGAGGGAAGAGGCTGCACACAGCCGCTTTGTGGGGATTACTTCGCTAGTGGTTGCCTTGTGTTATTTCAGGGGACGTGGTAGGAGAATCTCTTTATCTATTTTGCTCAGCTCCTCTTCTGGAAGGAAGAGGCTTCTGCATCCAAAGGAAATGTCGTGGGCAGCCCGGGTGGCTCAGGGCCTTAGCGCTGCCTTCAGCCCAGGGCATGATCCTGGAGTCCCAGGATTGAGTCCCGCATTGGGCTCCCTGCATGGGGCCTGCTTCTCCCTCTGCCTGTGTCTCTGCCTCTCTTTCTGTATCTCTCATGAATAAATAAATAAATCTTAAAAAAAAAAAAAACAAAGGAAGCATTGTGAGTCAAAGGTAGAAAGCCTGACCGTCTTGGTTACTTTGCAAACATTGATATTCTCATGCAGAAGCTCACTCGTTCGTCTTTGCTATTTATCATGTAACACGTGTGTGTCCTGTGCTGTTCCTACACCCGGGGTCATTACACTGTCCCCGTCTGAACCAGAAGACAATTCTCCCAAGTAACGGTAGGGCACATCTTAAAGGCTGGCTACAACCAAAACCATCCAAATCGTCACTCCGCCTGTAGTTAAACCGAAGAAGATACTTTTTTTTTTTTTAAGAAGATACATTTTTGAAGATCCATCTGCTTGTAACCGTGCTTGTCATCTACCGCTATTTCATGTGTAACACTGGAAGCAAGCAAGGGACATGGGGCACGTTTTAGTTTCTAGCTGGCCCTGGAGCCTATGATCAACAAAAGGCACTTCCAGCAGAGGCTGGCACACTCGTTACGGAGAGACCTGACTTCTTCCCCCAGCCGGGTGAGATGGCTCTGGGTCAAATCTGGTGTTTACTTTCTGAGCACAGACTCTCCATCTTGTTCTCCTGGAGGCAGGATGGGCCACCCAGAAATCACGGGGCACAGTAAACCACTCAGCCAGTGCTGGCAGTGGCCCCAGGAGTGACCGCACGGCCCGAGGCAGCCCACCTCCTCTTGGGCTGATGACTCAAGTTCACATGTTGAGCTGGGCACCATGAGACACTCATGTTCAGGAACTGTTACAGAATTGGCCCTATAATTTTCTTCTGCAGTCCTCTCCTCCAAGAGGAAAAAGAAGCCTACAGTCCTCGGTTACAAATTTTAATTAATTCCTGTTTTTCTCTCCAAGGAAGACTGTGCGTTTTTCCAAGGCAGACGTAGGAGGGTCTTGTAACAGATGTTCACGTCGTGCGGGCCCAACCAAGCCTTAATGACTGTACCTGTACCGAAGGGGTGTCCTTTGAACTTTCTGAGATGCTGTTTCGTTTATACGTGACCTCCAAGGTGAACAGGAGCCCCGTGGCCGGGGCCGTGGAAGGTACACTGTGCGCACTGCATCTCAGCGTCCTTCCATGTGCTACTCTCGGCCGGAGCATGAATTGGTGGCGAAAAGGTCAACAGGGAAGGTAGCAAAAAACAGGCAGATGATGAAGCAAACTGTTAGAACAAATACCCATGGTGTTGTCAGTAAACTTTTATTGCGCAGTTTACAATGTGTGAGGAACCGTGGATTAAAAAAAGATTCAGGCTTAACTCTTACCCTTCATGCCTATGATCTGGTTAAGGAGCAAGACGCCTAAGAAAGGCAAGGAAAGGGGCGCCGGGGTGGCTCAGTCGGTGAAGCTCTGCCTTCCGCTCAGGTCAGATCCCGGGGCCCTGGGATGGAGCCTCCATCAGGCTCCCTGCTCAGCGGGGAGTCTGCTCCTCCCTCTCCCACTGCCCCTCCCCCCTGCTCCTTGTCTCTCTCTCTCTCTCTTTCTTTCAAACAAATAAATAAAATCTTTAAAAAAAAAAAAAAGGGCAAAGAGCAGCACAGAGTGGGCCATCGCGAGTCAGGCAGCAGACAGCGCTGGCGAACTCGGAGGGTAGAACCAGCATGAGTCCCACCCCGACCGTCAGGCACCACCAGGCTGGGCTGGAGGGGCTGCAGGGTGGCGGGGGGGGGGGGACAGACAGGGAGACAGGACAGACAGGGAGCTATTTGCCATCTGTCCCTTGCCCGCCCCCCCTTCAGCTACTCTGAACTCCTAGAAGTGCCTATATAGCTCTAGAAGGGGGGGAAAAGGCAAATGCCTATTTTGGAAGTACTTACAGCCACCCAAACGCTTCTCTTCCGTTAGCGGTTAGGATTCAGAACAAACGCTCCGGCAGCAATCCTGCTCCTTGATCCTTTTCTGCACCTGGCGTGTCGTTCGAGTCTGAACAGGTACGAGGGAAAGTAGAGCTCCCGGAGGTAAGCGGGCCGCTAGCACGGAAGTGAGAGCATCCCAGTCCCCATCCAGGGAGTGTGTCCGCGACCTGCCCGGCACACAGGACGTCCCCGTGCGCAGCCTCAGGACAGCCGACCCGCGTTTCTACCCGGCCAGGGGTCCCGGTTTGATTTATTCGAGACTGGGGCGCAGTCGCCAAGCTGCGTTATGCCCCGAAGTGCATTTCTATTCGTGGATCCTCCGCGGCCGGCGCTGTGCCTGAGATCACTACGTCGGCCGTCCCAGAGCTTTGTCAAGCAGAGAGCCCAGGGTGCAGCCCCCGGCTCCCACCTGTCCCCCGGGGAGCCCCCCGCCACCAGGCTCCACGGCTCACCACTCGCTGGAAGGCCGAGATTTGAGGTGACCTCTCAGGCCTTCACCGGAATGCACTTGGCTCGTGCCAGGGCTGCCACCAGCACCAGCGCTTCAGGAGAGGAAGGGAGAGTCGACTGGGAGGCCCGAGGTAGGAAAGACAAAACAGTGTCGCCGCCTCCGCGGTGAAGGGACGTCGGAGCTGATTTCCAGCTTGATGCAGATCCATGTTTTTGCTGCTCGCGGTGGAAAAACCCAGAGAAGTTCAACGTCAAATGGACAACATGTTTGTGAACGATAAAACAGGGAAAACGTGATGTACACACACGGTCTCTTTTGTGCAAACACACGTGTGAAAGAATATTGGAAGGAAATGCGTCTGAGGGCTAGCTGTAGGAAAACGGGAGGTTCCTTCCGTGTCCCTTCCCTGTCTGCCGAGGCCTCTACGGTGAGCACGTGTCCTGTCTGTGCTCCGAGCGGACAGTCCATGGTGTGCCCGTCAGTGCGGGCTGCTGGGACAAAGCAGCACAGACCAGGCATTGACTCCCTCCCCGTCCTGGGGGCTAGGAGTCCGGCATCCAGGCGTGGGCAGGGCTGGTTCTCCCGGGCTCACAGATGGCCGTCTCCTCCCCGAGGCCTCAGTGCCTGTCCCTCTGTCCGCGTCTGTGTCCTGATCTCTTCCTATAAGGACGCCTTTCTTATTGCATGTGGGCCCCCCCACCGCGTGATCTCAATTAATCTCATCTCCAGATGCAGGTGCATCCTGAGGGTCAGGGCTTCACATGGGAATCTTGGAGGGGCTGCTGCTCAGCCCACAACACTCGGTGTCGTGGGCAATGAACCTCCACGCACCCAAGCTGCTCTTGGGTGCCGGAGGCCGGCAGGAGGAGGACCCATATCTTGTGCTGAGCTGGGTGATCCCTGTCTCCTCAGGAAAGGCCGAGGGGAATGGCAAGATGCACATCACCCTTTGTGACTTCATCGTGCCCTGGGACACCCTGAGCAGCACCCAGAAGAAGAGTCTGAACCATAGGTACCAGATGGGCTGTGAGTGCAAGGTAAGCCGGCGCCACCTGCCTCTGGGCTTTACCTCATCACCTCCTTCTCCAGGGGGACTGCCGGGCTTTCCAGGGCCTCTCAGGCCCCGGGGTCCTCAGGACAGGGCTCTGGGGAGGGACGGCCTCTCCACAGCCAGGAGCCCCGAGGAGGCATGCCCCTGTAGGCGGATATTTGGGAGGTCAGGGGCATCTGGCCTTGTGGCCGGTAGCTCCTAGGAAGGAGACCTTCCCGGGGGAGGAATTTTTTGGAGAGGACAGGGTGCTGTGAGTACTCTTTACAGATGCACAAGTGCAAAGACTTGAGTGCCTTGGGAAAGAACATCCCAGCCCGAGGGCCAGTGTTCCAGCCATATCCATGCCCTGGGGCCACGGAGAACCCTGATACCCCAGCTCCTTCTTACAAGCAGCCTGGAGGGGTGCCTGGGTGCCTCAGTCTCAGGCCATGATCTCGGGGTCCTGGGATCAAGCCCCACGTTGGGCTCCCTGCTCTGCGGGGAGTCTGCTTGTCCCACTCCCTGTGCCCCTGCTCGTGTTCCCCCCTCAAATAAATAGATTAAAATGTCCCGGAGGTCATGCTAAGCAGTTAGAGCAGCACCAACATTAAGTGCAGCTGTAGGCAGGGGGACCTCCAGGGCCCCAGGCCTGGGTCCTCTCTCTCTCGCCGTCCGAGCCTCGGGCCCCAGCAGGAAGCACCGCCAGGCACCAGGGCGCCTCTGCCCCTGGAAGTGGATCTGGGTCCGGAAGGCTGCAGGGACTGGCTTCTGCTGATGGGCGCTGCTCACGCAGCCCTTGTGCTAGCGCTGGCACATCATCGCGAGCCAGTCCCTCGGCTCATTCAAAGTGAGAATTGTGACCTACAGCCACATGGACGTGGAGCAAAGTCCTCCATGTCCAACGTGCAATCAAAACGAGCTCCTCCCTGCCCCTCTTGTGGACTCGGTTCCTCCGCGGAGATGCTACTTGCCGATCCCCTCAAAGCCCGTGCATATGCTTCAGGGCAAGATACCAACCTTTTCATTTGGAACCTAGTTCTGGGGAATTTCAGACCCTCTGTGGTGGTGGTGGTGGTGGTGGGGTCAGCACTGAAGCCTTTGCTCAGGCTCAGGGATGGTAGACCAGATGGCCCAGAGCAGAGGGGCACCTACAGTGGGTGTGGGTGCGGGGGCTACTGCACAGGGGTCCCCCCGGCCCTGCCCCCTCCAAGGCAGGCTGCCTGCTGCTGTTTAGAGAGGAGGGGGCGCTCAGGAAAGGCTGCGGATGGAGCAGTTGACTCGAGCCCCCAATCCCCCCCGCCACCCCTGCCCCCCGCCTCTGTGCTCATGTGGTCATTCATTTAACAAACTGCCCTTGAACATCTTTGTGGGGCGTGTGGCTAGGCTCTGGAGATGCCCCCCTTGAGTGGCCTCAGTCCCTGACCGAATCCGCCTCCGTGTCCGTCTTCCTAGATCACGCGCTGCCCCATGATCCCGTGCTACATCTCGTCTCCGGATGAGTGCCTCTGGATGGACTGGGTCACGGAGAAGAGCATCAACGGGCATCAGGCCAAGTTCTTCGCCTGCATCAAGAGAAGCGACGGCTCCTGTGCATGGTACCGCGGAGCGGCACCCCCCAAGCAGGAGTTTCTCGATATTGAGGACCCGTAAGCAGGCCAACAGCACCCCTTTGGCCAACGGAAAAGCCTCCAAGAGTTTAGACTGGTCCAGCTCTGACATCCCTTCCCGGAAACAGCATGAATAAAACAGTCATCCAAGTGGGTCTAAATTAGTATGATTCTCCTCTTACCCCCACCTCCCTTTGAAACATGGCCGTGGGCCCTCACCCCATCCGCCGGCCTGGGCAGTGTGTGTCCCAGGCTTCCATCCTTGGGTGCAGGCAGGGCTGGGGCACACGGGCCCAGCCCCAGCCCTAACACTGTCACAAACACTGAGCAGGCCGCACATGGGCATCCCCCAGGCCTGGTCAGGGCAGAGCCTGGAAATGTGCATTTTGCAGAAAATTTTGAGGGTCGTTGCAAGACTGTGTAGCAGGCCTACCAGGTCCCTTTCATCTCGAGAGGGGCAAGTCCCTCGTTTCCTGCAGCTTCCACACCTCTGGCCCTAGGGTGGCAGGCCCTGCCCCTTGCAAGTGCCCCTGTCTCCTCTGTGCTCCTCGTGGACTCCTGGTACCTGTGACTCCCATAAATACAGAAGTAGCCCTGGACCAGTGGCGGGCTCTCGGAGGAGCCGCGGTTAATCCTGTTAATCAGCAGAATCGCAGTGGGAGCCACGCTCCAGGGCCTCGTATGAAGTGGGTGACATGTTTCAGCTTCAGCCAAGTCCTTCCAGTGCCCCCACCACATGCCCCGACACTGGGGGAGTCTGTGGCATTCCGCCCTGAGGGCAGACGTTTGGGGGGAACGCTTGGCTCCCCTTGCAGTTTACTCCCAGGCTTCTGAAGTCATTTTGGCTTGCTCCTCCTCCTTCTGCCATCGGGCTTCCAGATGAGTTGCACACGCTGGCTTTGCAAGGGGTTGCGTGTGGCCAGCGGCCTGGGCTGGCTGTGCCCTGTTTGCACATCCAGGGGCCATCGAAAACTGGGTCTTGCTGTGCCCCCCAACGCACCTCAGAGCCCCTCCCTCCAAGACGGACGGTCACTGTGCTGGGCATGGATTTCTGTGAGTGAAGTTAGCTGGGCATGTTGTGAAGTCTTACCTAGGAAGGGAAAAACTGGGGAGGTAGGCGAGTTCGATGGATCTCTCTCTGGGCCTCCCGGATGCTGTGGCCAACATCCCGTTGTTCGAAAGATGAATTCTCAGTTGTTGTATGAACCCAAGCTCCAGGTGTACCAACCTCCATGTATATTTGTCACATTAAGATCTCTTGGTCAAAAAACATCATAGGGGGACTAGAGAACCTGTTGTTTTATCCTAAACGTGGTTTTCTGCTGCAAGTAAAATGGAGGTTGATGCAGGCAGAAATCTGTCAGTAACGAAAATCTTTTTCTTCCTACTTGTAAAGATAAACTCTTGTGAGTTTTTCTTGCACGTCGGGCAAACACACCTGTACACGAGCACGTGCGCACGCACACGCTGCAGCCCAAGTCTGTCCGCCTGTGAGTGGTCCTTCTGCAGAATGCTTCTAAAGTCACCATGTTCTCAGTGTTGCTCTGTTCAGCGGTGACCCCAAAGCACCTGTAAGACTCCTGACCCCCAAGTGGCGTGTGAGCCCCCATGCCTGCCGGGACCTGGTCAGCGTAGATTTTGATGACTTCCCTCTCTTGGGCAGACTAGGAGAAAATCCAGGAATTAGCCCCCGCTTCCAGGGTGTTTTCATGCTGTACAGTGATGGAAAGTTTGTAAGATGTCATAATGGACCAGTCCATGTGATTTCAGTATATACAAGATCACCAGACCCCTCCAATCAATATAACACCCCACCCCCGTTTTCTTCCTGTATGGTGTTATCATATGTAACATTTACTCCTGTTTCTGCTGATTTTTTTTTTTTAATGTTTCGGTTTGTTTCTGACATCCGTTGTAATCATTCCTGTGCTGTGTGTTTTTTATTACCCTTGGTAGGCATTAGACTTGCACTTTTTTTTTTTTTTTAAGGTTTCTGCATCGTGGAAGCATTTGACCCAGAATGGAAAGCAGGGCATGGTAGCTAGCCTATGACGGTGGATTCCTTCAGATGTTTTCTTTCCTTCTTTGAGTATGGTTGCTTTTTCCATCTGCTACCTTTTGTTCTCTGGTTCAAATCATTACAGAGGAAAGGGTCTTTGAGTTGGTCGGTTCCAAAAGATGGCTTTTATACTCAATCCACACACATTGGTCTTCTAGCCATGCTGAGCAGAAAACAAAAACAAAAACAGAAAAACCAAGATGAAGTGCCCAGTGGCAGCCAAGAGACAAAGCCACTCAAATACCGTCAGAGTAAACCATTGCAACGTGCATGTAGTGGAAGAAGGCTCTCCATTCGGCATTGTTTAATTTATATGTTATGTTCTACGCACTGCTCGTTCCTCCCTCCATTCTTGTCTTCATGCAAGCAACTCAAAATATTTAAAATGAAGTTTACATTGTAGTTATTTTCAAACCTTTGCTTGATAAGTATTAAGAAATATCGGACTTGCTGCCATAATTTAAAGCTTTGTTTGATTGTGTTTGTTTTTGCTCGGGTTGTTTTTTTGTTTTGTTTTGTTTTGTTTTGTTTTAACTTTTGGGCAATGTGTTTTTGCTGGAATATGAAGTCTGAGACCTTCCTGTGCTGGGAAGACGTGAGAGCTGTTGAACGTTGACAAGCAGACTGCGCATGTCTCCGATGCTTTGTATCATTCTTGAGTGATCGCTCGGTCAATGGACAATAAACAGTATTATATCAAGAACGCTGGCTCTGTCTGGGTGGCTATATCCGACGTCCTAGCTTAGGAACTGAGCACCTCAAAAAAATAATAATAATAAAAATTTAAAAATAAAAATAAATAAAAATAAAAAGAACTGAGCACCTCCAGAGGAGCCTGTCCCGTGGAGGTGGCGACGTGTCTCCCAGAGAAGGAGAGGTTCTGGGTGCTTTGGGGAGAACGTGGGAAAGTGCAGCAGAGACGGGGCGGGCAACCGGGAATGTGGTTTTTCTTAGATCGGCCAAGAGGAGAGCGCATGTGACAGGGACCCCTTTGTTCATTTGGCACGTGCATCTCACTTTCTGTCCTGGAGCGTTCCCAGCACACAAACCTAGGAAAGCGGAGCCCTGTGCCCATCGTGCATCTCTAACACTATGCAATTCATGGTCCTCGTCTTCTTTCTTTGCTGACACCCTCACCCCACACAGCCCGCCCAAGGTTACCGCAAAGGGGAATTCCAGACATGAAACTGCTATCGGTAAATGTTTCAGTCCATATCTTTTAAAAATAATAACTATTTAAAAAAAAAACTTCCAAAAAATAAAAATTAAAAAAATAAAAAAAATAAAATAAAAATAAATAAATAATAAAAAATAATAAATAAAAAAACACTTCCAGGGCTCCTGGCTGGCTCAGTCGGTAGAGCATGAGACTCTCGATCTCAGGGGTTGTGGGTTCGAGCCCTATCTTGGGTACAAAGATTACTAAAAAAATTTTTTTAAAAACCTACAACATTCCCAAAATACTTTTATCGCACCTTAAAAATGTCATTAGGATCCATTGGTGTCTAGTCAAGGTTGACATCTCTTCCATGCTTTATGATGGTCCACTGGCTTGAATCAGGACCCTAATAAGGGCTGTACACTGCATTTGCTCTCGAGGTTCTGTTTTCTACAGGTTTCCCTCCTCTCCTCCTCTAAGCTGGGGAAGACGGCCCCGTCATAACCTAAACTTGAACCAAGTCTCACGTCGCTTCAGATCACCATAAAAAAACTCTTTAAAGGTCTGTTTGAATACTTCCTCACCCCCTGGGCCATTTGTGGATTCGTCACATCAGGGACAAACCGGAAGGTTGGTGTTTCCCATTTTATGCAGCTGCTGTCTGGTCAGCAAGAACAAGCTTCTGGATGCCTTTGTGAGGCCACAGAGAGGCTAGTAGGGGACAAAGTTGGCATTGATGCCTGTATCACTAAACATTAAATGCCATGCATTTCCTATCACCTATGGCAGAAATGTTTGGCCTGTTTTTTCCACCTGCTCAATGAGGGAAACGGTTGAGCCACGTGTTAGAAGAGTGCTACCAAAACCCTCTGTGCCGTGCAAATACCCTTGCCTGGCATCTGTGCTCCTCCGGACCTGTAGGCCCCATGGGGTCCTAGCAAACAATGCTCAGACGACTGCTACCGATGTCATTTATTTTATGTAATTGAGGTCAAATGTGACTTCTGAAAAGCACTTCTCATTATGGAAATTTTCAAATATATAAAGAAATGCAGAGAGTGAGCTAACAAACTCCATGCACCCATGACCCCATTATTATCCTAATTTTCCCTGTCTTTGCAAACAATTTTGAATTGGTTTGAGGACCCACTTATAGGGTGAGCAGACTGTTGCAGATGCTCCAGACACCATTATTCCCATCCTCAGGCTCACTCATTCTGTGAAAGGAATGTGAATGGGGGACTGGGGTCCGAACCCCCAACAGACACATGAGGGTTTGCAGCAACAGATACTGCAGAATCCAATGTGAAAAGGCCCCGGGGCAGCCACCAGGACTGGTTAAAACATCGAGAAGTTTGGGTAGCACTAGCTTTTCCCTGTTAATTGTTTTTTTTTTTTTAAAGATTTTATTTATTCATGAGAGACACACACAGAGAGGCAGAGACACAGGCAGAGGGAGAAACACGCTCCCTGTGGGGAGCCCCATGTGGGACTCGATCCCGGGACCCCAAGGTCACGCCCTGGGCTGAAGGTAGCGCTAAACTGCTGAGCCACCCTGGCGCCCCTTCCCTCCTGATTGTTAATGGGTATGTTCAACTGATCTAACTTAACAAAACAGGGGAGCCGCAGATATTTTTCTGGGGTCAGGTTTATTATGGACACGTAAGCACAGATCTTACAGTAAGACTTTGAAACTCCTGTATGAACAGGTTCTATCTTTAGCCTTGGGTTCGAGCTCAGAGCTGACCCGCAGCTCGCCTCGTCGCGCCCGGTTGCTGTGAGTCCTCTGCAGCGAAAGGCAGCGCTTTGATTTGGGGACACCATCGGCTCCAACAGCAGATTTCCTCGTTCAGGAAACAAACTGTGAAAGAAAAAAGACTCAGAAACACGGTTCTGTCCACTTTTCACTTCCTAACAACCAGAAGGAATATTCCTTCCCAGGTAAATGAAACAAAAACGTGAGGCAAGTCCAAATCCGAGTCTGCAAAATGGTGGGGTGTCAGGTGGGGGCCCATAGCAGAGAAAGAGCAAGTGCTCAAGAGAGTTTGAGGATGGGATCCAAGACGGGGTGCGGAGGCAATGCTGCATACATGACCTGGAAATAAAGGGGAAGGTTTAATTTTTATTTTTAGGCCACCCAACATGTTTTGCTTTACCCCTTCAAGCCACCTTGGTGGGGAGGTGTGGGGCACCAGGTGCAAGACTCCAGCCAGGGAGGCTCAACAGAGACCTTGCCCCGTGGTTTTTATTGGGTGCTGGTCATGCAGGCACCCTCTCCCCAGCGTGTAGCAAAATTCCAGCCTCCCAGCAGGAGAGCAGGTGCTCAGCATAAACATTTGAGGCACAGGATCCATTCTTTTTTTGTTTTTGTTGTTTTAAATAGGCTCCACACCAACATGGGGCTTGAACTCACAACCTCAAGATCAAGCATCATATGCTCCCTAGTTACTGAGCCAGCCAGGTGCCCCAGGATCCATTCTTACCAGAGAATGGGGGAACCCTCCCCAAATCCAAGTTCCCAGACACTAACCCCGGACCTGGGCCCTCGGGAGAGAGCGGTCCTGGGCCTGCCACCTGCCATGGGAGTCTTGCAGGACAGATAGCCTCTGGCCTGGGCCCCGCTGGGGTCTGTACCCCCTCCTCCCCAGGCCGGCCCTGACATGGCAGGAACAGTCGACTTGGGCCTGCTCTGTGCGCCTCCCTGGGTGCCTGCGGACTTTGGAGGCTCCAATGCAAGGTGGTGCTGGGATTTTAAACAGAAAATCTTGGACTCTCTTGAAAAATGTATGCAATCTAGTCCTGAGGCCAGACAGGGATACGTGCCTTGCTTCAAAAAGAACAGTAACAGCGCTGTGCAAAGTAACGCTGCGTCCCAGAGAACAACCAGCGGGACCTAAGAAAGGGAACGAAACCCAAAAGAATGAAGTGAGGGGTAGTGGGGGTGACTTTTGGGGGAGGGAGGTAGTTTGTAGCAAGGAGGGGAAGGGGTCATGAGGACAGTGGGGTACCAGCGGCCTCTATAAAGTTTGGAGCTGGATTTCGGCATCAGCATTTGGGGAGAACTATCCCTACACACACAGAGAAAATACACACCTGTGCATTTATGCTGGCTTCGTGGTTTTTTTGGGGGGGGTTTTTGTTTGTTTTTATTTTTATTATTTATTTATTACCTTTTTTTTGAGATTTTATTTATTTATTCATGAGAGACACAGAGAGAGAGGCAGAGACACAAGCAGAGGAAGAAGTAGGCTCCCTGCAGGGAGCCCGATGTGGGACTCGATTCCTGGACCCAGGATCACACCCTGAGCCGAAGGCACACGCTCAACCACGGAGCCACCCAGGCATCCCTTTGTTTTTTTTTTTTAAAGATTTATTTATTTATTTATTTATTTATTTATTTATTTATTTATTTATTTATTTATGATAGACATAGAGAGAGAGAGAGAGAGAGGTAGAGACACAGGCAGAGGGAGAAGCAGGCTCCATGCAGGGAGCCCGACGTGGGACTTGATCCCGGGTCTCCAGGATGATGCCCTGGGCCAAAGGCAGGCGCTAAACCGCTGAGCCACCCAGGGATCTCCCATCCCTTTGTTTTGTTTTGTTTTTAATTTTTTTAGTTTTTTTTTTAGAGAGAAAACTGCCTTGGGAGGGGAGGAGGAGGCAAGCGAGTGGCCAGCACAGGAATTTAAGGCCTGTCGGCTATTTTTTGGCCAAACCACCAAACACATTCATGAAAAAGTACGTTTTGTGGGTCAAATTCCATCACAGCCCATCCATAGTCCAAAGAGAGAAGGTCTAATACAGCTCTGGGAACCTGTCATGTGGCTTTTCCTTGGTGAGTGCAGCCAGAGGAGGGTTTGGCAGTTTCTAGAAATGTGAAATTGTTAGGGTTGTGTAGGCCCAGCCGGAGCGACTCATAGGAACCAAACTCACAACAACCGATGTAAAAATAAGAATTATTAATTTACAATTAGAGGGCAGCTGGGGGGCCCAGTGGTTTAGTGCCGCCTTCAGCCCAGGGCATGATCCTGGAGACCTGGGATCGAGTCCGCATCGGGCTCCCTACATGGAGCCTGCTTCTCCCTCTGCCTGTGTCTCTGCCCCCCTCTCTCTCTGTCTCTCATGAATAAACTAAATAAATAAAATCTTAAAAAAATAATTTACAGTTAGAGATGCGATTTAGGTCTCTCCAGAAATTAGCACGAATCTTTGGCCAGCCACAGGGGACTTCTGGGCAACTGTACCGTTAAACTGTTAATGCACATTATTTCTTTTTTTTTTTTTAAGATTTATTTCTTTATTCATGAGAGACACAGAGCAAGGCAGAGACACAGGCAGAGGGAGAAGCAGGCTCCATGCAGGGGGCCTGTGGCGGGACTTGATCCCAGGACCCCAGGATCATGGCCTGAGCTGAAGGCACTCAACCACTTAGTCACCCAGGTGCCTCCGCCTTGGGTTTGAGACTACTATTATTTTATCTTCAATGTTTCTCTTTTTTCCTTCAAGGATTTAGAGATTATTCAATTGTCTTATCTTAAGCACTTTATTTCCTGTTTGGTTGGGTTTCAGAGATATTCATGCATAGTGTACCTTCAATGCACCAGGCTCAGGGACACTAAGACGCGTGAGACATCCTAAGAGCTTTACCAGTGGTCACCGAGGAGGGGGCAGCCTAGAGAGCATTCCAATTGAATGTGTAAGTGGAATGTGCAGCTGGCCCAAGGCAACAGCAACCTAATGGCAGGGATGGAGGAATCCAGGAAGACTTCCTGGAGGAAGTAGTGTCTGGGAAGTTTGTAGACGGGCTAGTGGGGAAAGGGAATTTAGGCCAAAGACCAGCATGAGCCTGGAGCAAAGATACCCTGATTAGGGTCTAGGGGTCATTTGGATTTAGCTCTGCGAGGGGATCCAGGGCAGGGAGTGGCGGGGGAATGAGGAAGAAAAAGCAGGCAAGGAGCCAGCCTCCAGGGGCCATTAGAGACCATGCTAAGGAGAACCTTGCTTTCCCATTAGCTTCGGGGAGTGGGGAAGTGTCCAGACAGGTGTGCAGTGTTTTCAGGTGGGCCTTTTAAATATATTGTTTTTTTTTTAAGATTTTATTTATTCATGAGACACACACACACACAGAGAGAGAGAGAGAGGCAGAGGGAGAAGCAGGCTCCATGCAGGGAGCCTGATGCAGAACTCGATCCTGAGGCTCCAGGATCACGCCCTGGGCCGAAGGCAGATGCCCAATCGCTGAGCCACCCAGGCACCCCTCTGTACAGCCTTTAAAACTGAGGGGATTAATACAGGGATTGGTTGCATCCTGATGGAGGCTGACTAGAAAACAACAGGCAGCTGTTAGCACTTCTAGGATGGAGGGGCAGGGGCAGGAGGCTGCCCTACAAGAGCCCAGGGAGGGACGGTTGGGGGAGGAGGAGGCTGGGAGCACAGTGCACCTCTCTGGATGAAGCCAGAAACTCCATTCCAAGCAGAAGAGGAGGGAGAGAAAGGTCCTGCTTCTCCTTTCCTTTGCCCTCCAGTCTCACCAGTGACCCCCAGTGGCCAGACAGACATTCCTGGACACCAGGGTGCCTGGAAAGTGGGAAAGGGCAAGGATTTGGTCTAAGCTCCAGCACAGCAACCCAAGTGGGCAACAGGGCAGAGAGAGGCAGCTTAGGAGAGGAGGTGATGCACCTGTTTCCCGGCATGGTGAGTTGGAAGTGCCTGTGGATCCTGCAGGGAGATGACCAGCAGGCGGGCGCCTACTGGACCCAGCATTCCAAAGATCAGGGGGAGAGAGATCTGCATCTGCGTAATTTTTAAAGATTTTATTGATTTATTCACGAGAGACACACAGAGAGAAGCAGAGATACAGGTAGAGGGAGAAGCAGGCTCCGTGCAGGGAACCCGATCCAGGCCTCGATCCCGGGACTCCAGGATCACACCCTGGGCCGAAGGTGGCACTAAACCTCTGAGCCACCCGGGCTGCCCTGCACATGTGTAATTTACTGGACTCCAGGCATAGCGTGGTGAGAGCCACAGCAATGGACCTGCTCATGGGGTAGGTGTTTGTTACTTAAAAGAAACATTTTTCCCCCAAAATGGTTGTATCATTTATACTCCCAGCAGGTTTATTTTTTTTTTAAGATTTTTAAAAATTTATTCATAGAGACACAGAGAGAGGGCCAGAGACACAGGCAGAGGGTGAAGCAGGCTCCATACAGGAAGCCTGACATGGGACTCGATCCGGGGATCTCCAGGATCACACCCCAGGCTGCAGGCGGCGCTAAAACCGCTGAGCCACCAGGGCTGCCCCTCCCAGCAGGTTTAGAGTCTACCTGCTTCACATTCTCTCCAGCACGTAGTCTTTTTAATTTCAGGTGTTCCAGTGGGTGTGAAATGTCCCTTGGTATGGTTTTAATTTGCATTTCTCCGGTAACCTTTGGGATTAAGCACTTTAGGAAAGGTCGACCTGCACATACCTCAAGGAGACTCCACTCTGCAGCTTCTTTGAGAGAATCTGCAGGGGGAGTCAGGGTGGGAGGCGTGTGTGGGTGGCCAGCGGCTCCTCCCAACTTCCAGGTCTCCTGATAACATTCTCAAGCAGAATGGAGGGCCTTTCAGGCAATTCATTTGTCAACTCAGAAGAATGTTGGGGTTCCTCTGAGGGCCTGAGTTACAGGTGTGCACCTGGGGCGGGCCAAACTCAGGCTGAAACCCTCCCATCACTGCTTGCTTGCAGGGATCAGGCACACTCATTTTTTTTTCCATCTGTAACGTGGCTACAGTATCTTTTTGTGGGTTTGCCATGAGGATTAAAGCATATACTGTAGGCAAAGCGGTGGGGGGGGGGGTACCTGACACATAGTGTCAGCTCAGCAATGGAAACAAACGTCTTCAGTTTTGGGAAGATGGGCCTGAGCTCGCCTTTCCTCCACAGTCCAGGAAACCCAGGCCTAGGGTCCTTAACTGTCCAGAGCAACCTGCTAATTAGGGCAGCACCGGGATAAAACCCACGTCTCCTCATTCCCCTGCCAGCGGCCACCCCTTCCAACCTGCCCCCACACTTTGTCACTGGTAAACGCGTTATCAGGCGTGAGGGCTGGTTTTGTTGGAATCCTTGTTTCCGGCCGGGACGGGCTGGCACCGGGAATAAATCTCAGTCTGAAGCTCTTGGGGGCTGGACTCTCCCAGGCTCCCTCTCAGGCTCCTACCGCATGGTTTCTGCCTGCTTGTCTTTTTCACGACACCGGAACCCACGGAGCTCGCAGAGGGTGAAAGTCCCCTTACACCTCCTGCGGCCCTGCACCCCGTCCCATCTGCAGGGGCAGAGGCACCCAGTGCAGGCAGGCCGTGCACCCCATCCCGCCTGCAGGGGCGGCGGCACCCGCCGCAGCAGGCCCTGCACCCGTCCCGCTGCAGGGCGGCGGCACCCGTCCCATCTGCAGGGGCAGCGGCAACACCCGCCGCAGCAGGCCCTGCACCCCGTCCCGCCTGCAGGGGCGGCGGCACCCGCCGCAGCAGGCCCTGCACCCCGTCCCGCCTGCAGGGGCGGCGGCACCCGCCGCAGCAGGCCCTGCACCCCGTCCCGCCTGCAGGGGCGGCGGCACCCGCCGCAGCAGGCCCTGCACCCCGTCCCGCCTGCAGGGGCGGCGGCACCCGCCGCAGCAGGCCCTGCACCCCGTCCCGCCTGCAGGGGCGGCGGCACCCGCCGCAGCAGGCCCTGCACCCCGTCCCGCCTGCAGGGGCGGCGGCACCCGCCGCAGCAGGCCCTGCACCCCGTCCCGCCTGCAGGGGCGGCGGCACCCGGTGCAGCAGGCCCTGCACCCCGTCCCGCCTGCAGGGGCGGCGGCACCCGTGCAGCAGGCCCTGCACCCCGTCCCATCTGCAGGGGCGGCGGCACCCGCCGCAGCAGGCCCTGCACCCCGTCCCGCCTGCAGGGGCGGCGGCACCCGGTGCAGCAGGCCCTGCACCCCGTCCCATCTGCAGGGGCGGCGGCACCCGCCGCAGCAGGCCCTGCACCCCGTCCCATCTGCAGGGGCGGCGGCACCCGCCGCAGCAGGCCCTGCACCCCGTCCCATCTGCAGGGGCAGCGGCACCCGCCGCAGCAGGCCCTGCACCCCGTCCCATCTGCAGGGGCAGCGGCACCCGGTGCAGCAGGCCCTGCACCCCGGAGCTCCCCCAGCCCCCCGGGAAGTCCAGCGTCACAGGGCTGCGGTTTGGGGGAAGGTCGTTTGCCAGCCCCCCCCCCCGCCCCGCGCCTCCGTGCCCCGGGCCGGTCAGCACCCCCGCCCCCCGCCCCCTGCCCCGGGGCGGGGGGAGGGGAAGCAAGGACTCGGTGAAAAGGATTTTTAAAAACACTGCAGAAGCCGTGCGCATTTGCAAGCATTCCAGCAGAAGCTTAACGGAATCGTCACGGGCCGGTGCTTTTGGGGGTCAGGAGGGCGGTCGGGGATGGCAGGTCGGCCCCGCCCCACCCCCCCGACATCCAAAGGTCGGACGCCACGGCTCCCCCCGCTCCCAGCCTCCGCTCGCCTCCGCGCCCCCCGCCCTGCTGGGCCCGCCGCCCTCCCTGCGCCCCGTCCGCCGCGCGATCACTAAAGGGCCGCGGAGCCCCGGGCTGGGACCCGCGTTAGGGACCCGGAAGCGGGAGCCTCACGTGCTCTCCGGGAACTCGCCCGGCTCGGGCCAAGGGGGCGGGGCGCCCCGGCTCTGCGTGCTTGCGTCATCGCGTAGCCCCCGCGCGGCCGCGGGCGGCAGGGTGACGTACCGGCTGCGCAGACCGGCTGTGGGCGGGCCCAGGGAGCGGGGACGCGGCTAGCCCCGCCTCTTAAAGCGGCCAAGACCTCCCGAGTCCGGCAGCGCGGGCCGCCAGCTGCGGCCCCTTTAAGTGTCGCCGTGACACGTGTGTGAGGCGCCCGAGGCCCGGATGGTGCGTGTGCGGGGCCCGGGCCGAGGAGACGCCAGCGCCGCGGGCCTGCAGCCGGGCCCGCCGAGGCCGGGGAGGCTGGCGCACGGGCCGAGGGGAGGCTGCGCGTCCGGCCGGGTGGAGGGCGTCCGCTGGGCCTGGGGCGCGGGAAGGTGCGGCCTGCAGGGGGGCGCCCGGGGGAGACGTGCGCGTCCGCGCGGGGCTCGGGCCGTGGGGAGGGCCCAGGGATGCTCCGTTAGCCCCGAGCCGGGGCCGCGCTGTCTGGGAGAGGCCCCGGGGTCCCGGGGAGGTCGGGGGGGGTCCGCGGGGTTTCGGGGTCCTCGGGGAGGTCGGGGGGTTCCCGGGGAGGTCGGGGGGTCCACGGGGAGGTCGGGGGCGCGCGGTCCGCGGGGGCTCGGGGTCCACGGGGAGGTCGTGGGGAGCCCACGGGGAGGTCCGGGGAGCGCGGTCTGCGAGGGCTCCGGGGTCCCGGGGAGGTCGGGGGGTCCACGGGGAGGTCGGGGGGTCCCGGGGAGGTCGGGGGGTCCACGGGGAGGTCCGGGGCGCGCGGTCTGCGGGGGCTCGGGGTCCACGGGGAGGTCGTGGGGGTCCCGGGGAGGTCGGGGGGAGCCCACGGGGAGGTCCGGGGCGCGCGGTCCGCGGGGGCTCGGGGTCCACGGGGAGGTCGGGGGGGGCCCACGGGGAGGTCCGGGGAGCGCGGTCTGCGAGGGCTCCGGGGTCCCGGGGAGGTCGGGGGGTCCACGGGGAGGTCGGGGGGTCCCGGGGAGGTCGGGGGGTCCACGGGGAGGTCCGGGGCGCGCGGTCTGCGGGGGCTCGGGGTCCACGGGGAGGTCGTGGGGGTCCCGGGGAGGTCGGGGGGAGCCCACGGGGAGGTCCGGGGCGCGCGGTCCGCGGGGGCTCGGGGTCCACGGGGAGGTCGGGGGGGGCCCACGGGGAGGTCCGGGGAGCGCGGTCTGCGAGGGCTCCGGGGTCCCGGGGAGGTTAGGGGCGCGCGGGTGCGCGGGGCTCAGGTGCCCGTGGGGAGGGCCCAGGGATGCTCTGTTAGCCCAGAGTTGGGGCTACGCGGTCTGCGGGGCTCGGGGTCCACGGGGAGGTCTGGGGGTCCCGGGAGGTCGGGGGAGCCCACGGGAAGGTCCCGGGAAGCGCGGTCGCGGGGCTCGGGTCCACGGGGAGTGTCGTGGGGAGCCCGGGGAGGTCAGGGGCGTGCGGTCTGCGAGTGCTCGGGGGTCCCGGGGAGGTCAGGGGGGTCCACGGGGAGTGCTCGGGGGGTCCCGGGGAGGTCAGGGGCGCGCGGTCTGCGAGGGCTCGAGGTGCCCGGGGGAGGGCCAGGGATGCTCTGTAGCCGAGTCTGGGGTACGCTGGAGAGGCTCCGGGGCGCGCGAGGGTTAGGGCGTCCACGGGGAGGTCTGGGCGCTGCCCGGAAGCCGGATCCACGGGAAGGTCAGGGGCGCACGGTCTGCGAGTGCTCGGGGGTCCCGGGGAGGTCAGGGGCGCACGTCTGCGAGTGCTCGGGGGTCCCGGGGACATCAGGGGCAAGCGGTCTGCGAGGGTTCGGTGGTCCACGGGAGGTCCAGGGGGTGCCGTCTGTGAGGGCTCCAGGATCCGCAGGGGAGGCGCAGGGTTGTACGTCCCCGCCGGTTTGAGGGTCCAGGAGGTGTGCTCTTTGCAGTTCCCAGGGAACCCGGACGGTGGTGGAGGAGAGAGCTGAGAGCTGCGGAGCCCAGAGCCCTAGGGAGTCCGGGGAGGCAAGGGCCCATGTGGGTCTTGAGCACAGTCATTACCCAGAGAAGCATCATTAACGCAGGACCCAGACTAGTCAAAATGTGGAGGAGCCCGTTCTGTTTGGCAGCAGTGCTGAAATTTCTTTTTTCCCTCTTTTAAAGAAATGTGGGAAAGAAGGTAACCTTCTTCAGGGTCATGGTCATGGAGAATGTGAGTGGGTGGGGACAAGAGGTGAGGTTTTAAAATACCCCTGTGCTTGGTAGTGTTGAGTCTCCCATGGGGTTCTCGGAGCGAGATAGAGCAGCGTTCTAAAGCAGACGAGGGAGGCAAGCGTCGTGGCCAGCCCGCTTTCCAGAGGAGATGCCTAGAATCAGGCCTCCGAGGAGAGGGAGGCTCTGCTTACGCTTTCCTGGCTGGAGCCTGGTGTTCTGCAGACTCTGCAGAAGAGCCTGGAGGCCCCTGTGAAAGTGCCCCGGGGAGGCCCAGGCTCTGTCCACTGGGGCTCCTCCCCCACCAGCACGTGGTTGACCCTGTGAGTCTTGAGTGCATTTCATCCTGGAAAGGAGAATTTACAGGGAGGAGGGAGAGAGAATATGCTTGAAGGGTGTTTGCAGATGCTGTGTTTGCCTACTCTTGGGGGTAGAAACACGGAGAAGCCTGAGCTGCTCCTGGACTGCGGTGGAGCGGAGGGAGCATCCTTCCTGAGCTCTGAAGAGCATGTTGTCAGATACGCACCTCAGAGGGCTTGCTGATGACTACAAGGACGTTTTTCTCTGGGTTCCTACGCCTCGGAGAGAAATAATTTTTTGGCTCTTGTTGATGTTTTGGGTGCAATTGGTGACACAGAGATTTGTCAGAAATGGAAAAATTGTTCAAAATCTGATTCCCACATTGAGGAGCAGGCTATGGGATACATGTTCTTTTCTTTTTTTTTTTTTTTTTTTTATGACAGTCACAGAGAGAGAGAGAGAGAGGCAGAGACACAGGCAGAGGGAGAAGCAGGCTCCATGCACCGGGAGCCCGATGTGGGATTCGATCCCGGGTCTCCAGGATCGCGCCCTGGGCCAAAGACCGGCGCTAAACCGCTGCGCCACCCAGGGATCCCGGGATACATGTTCTTTAAATTACTTCTCTTGAAAGAAATTGTGTTGTATCTTCCAAGTTCTGTTCATCCCCTTGCTGTTTGGTTCCCAAACATATGACCTTGGACTCATGTCCATCTGTGTCCTCACCTGTCCATAGTGAGGTATGAGTTTAGGGGATGTTGTAGGGAGATCTTTGTGCGACCGGAATCTTCACCTTACAGGTTGGCTTTTATCCTGAGATCAGATTTATTATGTTCTCCCTTTATTTTGACGTCGGTGTGCTATTATTTATGGATACGAGGCACGACGTATCCGAAATCTGTTGTCGATAATGTGGGGACAGAAGAGGAATCAGGGTTGGGCCTGCATAAGGAGAGCATGGTGGTCCCTGTGTTGTTCCCACCACATTGTATGTATCTGAACGTTTTCACAGCAAAAAACTTTTAAGTAATTTTATGTAATCATAGTGATTGTGGATGGTAGTTTTAAAAAAATCTGCACTTAGCAAAGCGAAAACGTGGCAGTTCTTTCTGCTCCTTTGTTTTGCTTTTGAAATTCTACTGGTTTGTGAAATCTGGAAGTTGGAGGTGAAGGGATTATTACCTCTTGCTCTTTGAAAAGTGATTTAGACTGGAGTTCACTAAAGACTTTTGTTCATTGGGCTTATCCCTGGCCGGAACGTTAAGATACAAAGCAAAGGGCAGCGTTTTCATATCATGCACATTGTAATAATTTGTAGCCAGTCAGTTCGGTTCTTCCCCAGACTCTTCCTAAATCCAGCACTGTCCATACTCCTTCAGCCTTCCTGCCGGCTCTTCCAGATAGATGGCCTTTCTGCTCCGTGTCCACACAATGGGGCTGAGGAGATAGTGGAAGCAAGTGGCCTCACGTGGTGCTCTGTTCACCCCACAGATTCTGACGCCTGTTCTGAACGACAGACTTGCAGCTTTGGTGATTTAACGGGGCATAGCCGAGGAGCTGGTGAATCGGGTCCTGCGGTGCACCTGCCCAGTCTGGCCCGGAACCTGACCCCATGCTGCAGCAGCAACACGCCCAAGTTCAGACACCCCAGGTAAGCCAGCAGAGGTTTGGAAGTACTTTTTCATTCCTCCAAGTTATGTGCTTATAGTCCAGCAGCTATTGTTCAGTTGGTGGGAACACTTAGATAATTCCCCTTAGGGGCAGCCCAGGTGGCTCAGCGGTTTAGTGCCGCCTTCAGCCCAGGGCCTGATCCTGGAGCCCCTGGATCAAGTCCCACGTCAGGCTCCCTGCATAGAGCCTGCCTCTCCCTCTGCCTGTGTCTCTGCCTCTCTCTATCTGTGTCTCTCATGAATAAATAAATAAAATCTTTAAAAAAAAAAAAAAAGATAATTCCCCTTAGGAAAGGTTCTTTTGATTTCTTCAAAGAATAAGTGCTTACATTTTATTTATTTTTTATTTTTAAAAGATTTTATTTATTCATGATAGTCACACACAGAGAGAGAGAGAGAGAGGCAGAGACACAGGCAGAGGGAGAAGCAGGCTCCATGCAGGGAGCCTGACGTGGGATTTGATCCCGGGTCTCCAGGATCGTGCCCTGGGCCAAAGGCAGGCGCCAAACCGCTGCGCCACCCAGGGATCCCAAGTGCTTACATTTTAAAAAATAAGTTTCTTACATTTCTATTTTTTGCAGTTTTTTAAGATTTTATTTTTAACTAATCTCTCCACCCAACATGGGGCTAGAACCTACAGCCCCAAGGTCAAGTGTCGCATGCTCTACTGACTGAGCCAGCCAGGCACACCTGCAGAAAGTTTCGTAGATAAAGAAATTTGACCCCAGTGGGGCATGAGATGCTCCATAAGGATAAACTTGAATGGTTTCATAAGCGATCCTTTCACTGAGTTCTGGGATACACTTACTTAGTTGGTGCTCCTGTGCCAGGCTGGCTGCTGGATGCCTAAAGGAGTCATTTTTCTGATAAGAGTGAACAGTTTAAGGAACATATTTTTCTAATTGTGACTCAAATGGCCCTTGAGCTTTGGCTGAGATGGTTGAGTTGAGAGATAGTAGTAAAGAACAGTGGTGGGTACAAGTGTAGCAATCAGAGGTGATGGAGGGAATTCCTGGTCTTTTAGTGTTTCTAGCAGCTGCAGCCAGCACTCACCTGGGTCACCTCAAAACCACCATGGGTGCTGCTTTCAAGCCCTAATTTACACAGAACAGGAGCTGGGAAGTCAACAGTGGTTCTTCCTGGAATTTACAGCTGATAAGTGAAGGAAGAAACCAGTCCTGTCACACTCCAGCCTGGAACTGTCACTTCCCTCTTAAAGTTGGAGCTTCTTATATGTACTATTCTAGTCCTGCCACTCTCCTGTCTCTCCTCCCTCACCTTCAGAAAGATCATCTGTACAAGCACCATCCAATAATTTAAAGTACAATTTTACAATTTAATAAGTATAATTTAAAATTTTACAGTAGCCATGTTAAAAAACAAAAGGCAACTGAAATTAATTTTCACAACATATTTAACTCAATATATGCAAATTATCATTTTAGCATATAACCAGTCTAAAAATTGAAATGTTTCACATTCTTATTTTTTTAAAGATTTTATTTATTCATGAGAGACACAGAGAGAGGCAGAGACACAGGCAGAGGGAGAAGCAGGCTTCCTGCGGGGAGCCCAATGTGGGACTCGATCCCAGGACCCCAGAATCGTGACCTGAGCTGAAGGCACTCAACCACTGAGCCACCCAGGCATCCCACATTCTTCTTTTTAAAGATTTTATTTATTTATTTGAGGGAAAGTGAATGAGAAAGAGGGCATGTGTGGCGATGAGCATGAGCAGGGGGGATGAGCGGAGTGGGAGGGAGAAGCAGACCCCCCGTTGAGCAGGGAAAACCACCCCCCCCTTCAACGGGCTCCATCTTGGGATTCCAGGATCATGACCTGAGCCGAAGGTAGATGCTTAACTGACTGAGCCACTCACGTGCCCTCAGATATTTTATATTCATATGCTAAGTCTTTGAAATCCATTGCATATTTTATACTTACAGTGTATCTCTGTGTGGACTAGCATCATCTCAGTGACCACATGTGACCTTTGGCTTTCATCTCGGAGAGTAGGAGCCTGAACAGAAAGGTGTGCTTACGTAACTCACTGCGCTGATTTCTTTCTTTTTCTTTTTTCTTTTCTTTTCTTTTCTTTTCTTTTTCTTCTTTTCTTTTCTTTTCTTATTTATTTATTTATTTATTTATTTATTTATTTATTTATTTGAGACACAGAGAGAGAGAGGCAGAGACACAGGCAGAGGGAGAAGCAGGCTCCATGTAGGGAGCCCTATGTGGGACTTGATCCCGGGTCTCCAGGATCATGCCCTGAGCCAAAGGCAGGCACCCAACTGCTGAGCCACCCAGGGATCCCCTGATTCTTTTATCATATGGGTTTATGTGTGCAAGCAGAGTATCTTCTGAGAATCAGTATTTTCCTGTTTTTGAGCAGACATTAGGACCACATGGTCACCTTTTGAAGGAAACTGCACCAAGCCGGTGTCCATAGTCCGTTATTGAAGAGATGCCTTCTGCAGGCTCAGCCAGCCTCCCTGCTACTATTGTCTCTTTGGTGCAGTTTGTGAAAAGCACCTTATCTTTTTGAGAGAAGTGTGGATTCTGCTCTGTCCAAGTGGTTGGTAATATGTCTCCATTTTTCACACTTCATTTGCACAGTTGGTAACCAATCCAGAGAAGCTTCCATGGCAGCTAGCGTCCATAAAGACCAGAAGACGTTTTCAGAGAAGTAATGCTTGGTTCTTGAGACCTAGTTACTCATTGCTCTGTGTTCTTTCTTGTCTCTACAGTGATGCACCATGCCAATAGTCGATAAATTGAAGGAAGCCCTGAAACCCGGCCGTAAGGACTCGGCTGATGATGGAGAGCTGGGGAAACTTCTGGCCTCCTCTGCTAAGAAGGTCCTTTTACAGAAGATCGAGTTTGAGCCAGCCAGCAAGAGTTTCTCCTATCAGCTGGAGTCATTGAAGAGCAAATATGTCTTGCTAAACCCTAAAACGGAGGGAGCCGGTCGCCACAGGAGTGGAGATGAGCCACAGGCCAGGAGACAGGGTACAGACGTGTGGTTGGCTGGTAGAAGGGGTCTCACTGTGTGTTGACCAAGTGGGTGGACAAAGTGTTGACTGATGAGGAACAAAAACAGATTGTGGAAAAAAACAAAACAAAACAGATTGTGGTCAGAGAGTTGTGAAGTTTCTATGGGGTCAGTGGCTCTATAGTTAAAGAAATAATTATACAGGTTTGGTCTTAAAGAAATCTGTGTTCTTAGAGAGGCCTTGGAACTTGTGTGCCTTTGATAGGATCCAGGGCGGGGCTAGGAAACAAGCAAGAGAAATGGGTTGGGCTTTGGAGTGCTGAGGCCTGGCTCCAGCTGTTGATTGTCTGAGTGTCCTCTTCTCATGGAGGGCTTCTTGATTCCAGACGTAAGCAGTCTGCAAGAGCCATGGGATGACTGGGTTTTCTCCTGGGCTTTCTAGTAACTTCCAGTCAGTGGGGACACCAGTTACCCTTTGACACTGTGTCTTGGCAAGTGCATGCCGAGCGTGCGTATCAGCGATTTCTTTTTTGTGGTCTGCCTCTGCACAGACTTGAGCCCTCCTTTCTTCCCTGTCCCTTTCTCCCGCAGGGAGCGAGCATGCGTATGAGAGTGGTGGTGATGGTGTTCCTGCCCCACAGAAAGTGCTCTTCCCCACGGAGCGGCTGTCCCTGAAGTGGGAGCGGGTTTACCGCGTGGGAGCGGGGCTCCACAACCTGGGCAACACCTGCTTTCTGAACTCGACCATACAGTGCTTGACCTACACCCCGCCTCTGGCCAACTACCTGCTCTCCAAGGAGCATACGCGCAACTGTGAGTGTGAGCCGGCAGCAGGGGGTGGGCCAGGAGTTGTGGGGACCGGGCAGTCCCCTGATTAGACAAACCCTTCGGCCTGGGTCAGACTTAGGAGTGATGTCCAAGAGGTAGTAATTGATGAAATCTAAATTTGACATGTGCCTGCTGCTGTAGGATGGGCCGTGGAAGCCAGTCACTCGGGTAGAGCATTGGTCCCAAACTGTTCTGAAAATGAGTACCTAAGCAGAGAAATGTGTTTTCAAAAAATATGTCCAAATTGTGTGTATTCAGTGACTCTGCACCCAGTCAGTGTCTTATGTATGTCATAAAACATGCCCCAGAGTAGAAATATAAAATGGGTAAAGATGAAATAAAATGTAACTTACCAAAACTGAAGAAGTAGAAAGCCTTTTAACTATTAAAGAAATTAAATCAGTGGTTAAAAATCTTCCCATGAAGAAAATGCCAGGCTGAGCTGATTTATGGATGAGCTTTATGAAAATTTTGAGAAATAGATTGTTGTAGTGCTTCACAAATTCTTCCAGAGAATAGGAAAAGAGAACTCCCAGCTCATTTTATGAGGTTCTTATAACTTGAGTAGCAAAAGTAAACTAGTACAGTATGAGAAAGAAAAATAAAAATGACAGTCCTGTCTTACAATTGTAGTTACAAAACTTCTACCAAATGCAATAGTCTTCTAACACCGTGAGCAATTTATGTTCATCCTAGTAAGGCAGGGATGTTCTAATACCAGAAAATCCTGACGTGTGATTATAAAGAGAGCACAGCACAACAGGTAACAGTACTTCTCTGGAGCCTGGCCTGCTGAGTTGTGTTCTGGCTCTGCACCTAAATGCTGTGATCCTGGGATCCCTGGGTGGCTCCGCGGTTTGGCGCCTGCCTTTGGCCCAGGGCGCGATCTTGGAGACCTGGGATCGAGGCCCGCGTCGGGCTCCCGGCATGAAGCCTGCTTCTCCCTCTGCCTGTGTCTCTGCCTCTCTCTCTCTCTATGTCTATCATGAATAAAAAATTAAAAAAAAAAAAAAAAAAAAAGCTGTGATTCTCAAGAATGTTACCTGGCGCTTTAAAGCTTCCTCTTCCTCATCTGCAAGGTAATAATATCTCCCCAGTCGTGCTGTTGGGAAGCTTGAATGAGTTACATAAAGTGCTTAAAATAGTGCTTGGCACACAGTAAGTACTATGTAAGAGAGTACTAATTTTGCTTCCTTAATTACCATATCAACAGATTAAAAGAGAAAGGTCACCTGAAAATAATGCCCAAAAGAGAAATTTATGAAAAATTTGTAGCAAAGGAGCGATAGGAAGGCGTTCCCTTATCTTGATAAAGGATACCTACCAAACACTACAAAAGAAACATTCTAGATAGGAAAATATTGGAAGCGTACCCTTTAAAATACAGAGTGAAATGGGGTCTCTCTCCGTGTTGAAGATGTGCCGGTCCTAGCCAGAGGGGTGATCTAGGAGACAAAAGGAAGGAGCCCACTATTGTTAACTTGAAAATGACATTCCTGCATTGAAAAGCAAAAGAATCTATAAATTAGAAATTTGACAATGTGACTAGATACAACATCAATGTACAAAAAGTTAGTTGAATTTCTCTACAGCAAACAACAAGGAGTGTTTTTTAAATTTTGCTACCATAGGGGTGCCTGGGTGGCTTAGGTTAAGCATCTGCCTTCAGCTTGGGTCATGATCCCACAGTCCTGAGATTGAGCCCCACATTGGGCTCCCTGCTCAGTGGGGAGCCTGCTTCTCCCTCTCCCTCTGCCCGCAGCTCCCCCTGCTTGTGCTCACGCTGTCTCTCTCTGTCAAACAGTAAAATCTTTAAAAAATATTTATTACTATACAAAATTTATAATAACAAAAGTAATAAAGTATCTAGACCTAAATTTACTAAGAAATCCTTCACTGAAGGACATTTCACAGTAATCTATATACATGAAAATAGCTGCCTTTGGAGGGAAGCCTCAGTATTATAAAAATTATGGTTTTTCCCCAGATTAATGTAGCTCCACTTGATTCTTTTTTTTTTTTTCTCTAAGATTTTATGTATTCATTCATGAGAGACACAGAGAGGCAGAGACACACAGGCAGAGGGAGTAGCAGGGTCCCTGCAGGGACCCTGATGTGGGACTTGATCCCAGGACCCCAGATTCATGCCCTGAGCCAAAGGCAAGATGCTCAACTGCTGAGCCACCCAGGCGTCCCGCTCCACCTGATTCTAAAATTTATATGAAAAAGCAGGGCAAAGGACTCGAAATCACCAAGACACTTCTGAAAGAGAGTATGAGAAGAGAGATGCCCTACAAACTATGAAGTCTTTGTCAAGTTAGAGAAATTAAAGTGTCATAGTATTGAATAAGGGAAGGGGTCTCCCAACTAGAAACAGACCCGTGTACACTTGCAAATGTGTGACAGGTGGGTTTTTCACGTGTCTCCCTTTTGAGTTAACTAGAACTTTGAACTCAGGCTTACATATGGAAAAAGCAATAGGATCCCCATTGCACAACATAGCCATGCACAAAAAAATGCATTAAAAATTTAATATCAAGAGCAAATATTTTGCTCAAACAAACATTGGCAAATCTCTCTCTGACCTTGTGACGGGAGATTTTTTTTTTTCTTTAAGATTTTATTTATTTGTGAGAGACACAGAAAGGCAGAGATGTAGGCAGAGGAAGAAGAAGGCTCCCTGCAAGGAGCCCAATGTGGAACTTGATCCCGAACCCCAGGATCATGCCCTGAGTCAAAGGCAGACACTCAACCACTGAGCCACCCAGGTGTCCCGGGATGGGAGATTTCTTGAATAAGACTCAGAAAGCACCAACTGTAAAAGAAAAATGACAGGTTCAGCTACATTAAAGTTAACAACTTTTGTTCCCCAAAAACACTGAAAAGGCAAATTGAGAGCCATGAACTGGAGACAAAATCAGCAAAGGATGGCTACCAGGAATGTGGCAAGAATACAGACCAATGAGGAAGACAACCTATAAAAAAGTAAAATTAAATTATGAATGGCATTTTACTCTTGGTAAGAGTATAGGAAGAGATGTTCAGCCTCGCTTGGAATCAGGAAAGTGCCACCAAAACCGTGACAGGTACCACAACACACCTTTGTGATGGGTGCAGGTCCGAAAGCCTGGTGGTACTGAATGTCACCATGAAGATGAGCGAGGACCTTTGACGCTCGCCTGAACTGGCATTCTCTTCCACATAACCTACCAGCCAGCAGTTCTCCACCTGCAGAAAAGCTCTGATACGTGGGTATCAGGACACTGGTGTAAAAATGCCCATCAGCAGAACGGATCCTCGAATCACAGTGTTAGGCCCGTGATGGAATACGCAGCAGAGTGGGAGAATGAATGACCGCGCCGTGTGGGAATCTGAATAATGCAGAGTGAAGGAAGAAGTCCCAGAAGGCTGCCTACAGCATGAATTGCTATTGTAAGAGTTGAAGAGCAAGACCATAAAGTGTTTAGGTATGCACAGACAGGACAAGCCCTAAGAAGTTTTTTTTCTAATTGGTAAACAATGAAGTCAGGAAATCAGGATTAGAAGCAGAGGCAGGGAGATGGGAGCAAGAGAGGACTAGGTGAGGATAAAAGTAGATTGCGTGATGTGTTCAGGGATATTCCTTATATTACTTTTTTAACGAGGGAAAGATGTGCAATGGAAATAGCGTTTTTAAAACATCTTGTGATCGTGATGGCAGCAGACGTTAACACACTGGGGCACTGCGCGCACTGCTGGTGAGGTTGGTTATAAATCTGTTTCCAGTAGTGACCTTGGTGATGTCAAGGTGGGTCTGGGTGGACTTTTAGTAAGACTTGACTGGGCTCTCTTTGTGGGTTTTTTTTGTTTTTGTTTTTAAAGATTTTACTTATTCATGTGCAACACACAGAGAGAGACAGAGAGAGAGGCAGAGACACAGGCCGAGGGAGAAGCAGGAGCCATGCAGGGAACCCGACGTGGGACTCGATCCAGGGTCTCCAGGATCAGGCTCTGGGCTGCAGGCGGCACTAAACCGCTGTGCCACCAGGGCTGCCCTGTTTTTTGGTTTTCTAAGCCTTTTTTTCCCCCAATTCTTTTTTTAGAGAGAACGAGAGGGAGCACATGTGGTGGGGAGGGGTTGGGGGAGAGGGAAACGGAATCCCCAGCAGACTCCACACTGAGCGCAGAGCCCGAGGCAGGGCTTGATCCCACCACCCTGAGATCGTGACCCGAGTCGAAACCAAGAATCAGATGCTCAATTGACAGCCCTCCAGGCTCCTCAGCTCTGTTTTTTTTTTTTTTTTTTCTCATGGCTTTGGTAATGAGACCCTACTCTCCAGACGTAGGTAGCTCTGCCATCTTTTTGTTCACCATACCTCCCTAGGCAGCCACCCTCCGGTTATGCTGCCTCTGCAGGACCCTTCGTCACCTTGGTTAGGGTTGATGTAGATAAAGTAGTTGTAACACCTGCGAATCCCCGAGAACCTGCCACCCATACTGTGTGGCATGTAGGAGTAAGGGGGTGTGGTGGGAGCAGCCAGAATCAGCCCCTCTTCCTGGGGGGACGTCCCACCCTCCAGACACCTTCCCTGTGAGCATCCCAGTGTTGCTCTGCATTGCTCTGTGGGATGTTAATCTTAGCATCTTAGCTTTTTTGAAAGTAAAAGTATTAAGTCTCTAGTATATTTTTTGCCTGTACCCCACTGGCTCTGAGCGACCCCAAGTGGGCTTGAGCTGTCCTCTCTTCCTCCTGGAATACAGCTATTTGAAGACTCCAGGATCCTGAGAAGTATCACCTGAACTGCTGGACCACTTCTGCCCTGGGATCTAGCTAGAAAAGAAACACTTTATTTTTTTAAAGATTTTATTTTTAAGTCCTCTCCGCACCCAGCATGGCACTGGAGCTCACAACCCCGAGATCAAGAGTCACACGCTCCATCGACAGCCAGCCAGGTGCCCCGAAAAGAAACACCTTATGTAAAATATGCGGGAGGATTAAATCCTATCCTTTTGGACATTCTTTTCCAAATTGAAGTAGCAAGATCCCAAAAGTCACGGATTTGACTTTTATGTCCTATTTTTCTTAATTACCTGAAGGAAGTCTTCATCCACATGCCACTTACATCAGTCTTGCATATTGCCAGGGATTGGGAAACCTTGTTTCAGGAATTTCTGGTTAAAATTGTTACTTGCCCTATTTAGGACTGATGATTTATCAGGCTAACGGTCTGCAGCGCTGTACGTGGTAATTAGAGGCATGATTCCCACACAGCTGTCACCGTAATGTCTCTACCTGAGTTAAATTGGGAAGGTGGGCGCTTTGTTCCGCATTTGTGACTGCTTATGTTTAAGTTATTTTAAGTAATGTATTTTAGTTTTTTGCTTAAATTTGAGCCCCCTCAACCATTATTGTCATTTTAAAAATAAAAGTAATAAGTGGATATGGATAAAAGAGTCCAAAAAGCTCTAAAATGAAAAGAAAAAGCCTCCTTTTTATGTAGACATTCACATAAACCATTTTCCAATAGTCCTCTAAGAGGATAGTGTAAATAGTAGTTTTTTTAATTTACCATTTTTAAAGATTTTTTTTTTTTAAGGATTGTTTTTAAGTAACCTCTGTGTTCAACATGGGGCTTGAACTCACAACCCCAAGATCAAGAATCGCACGCTCCACCGACTGAGCCAGCCAGGGCCCCCCAAATTTACCGTGTTTTATTGTAGAGCTCAGTGGCATTACTTGGCTTCACATTATCATGCAGCTGTCTGTCCATGTCCAGAACTCCTTCATCTCCCCAAACAGGAATACCAGCCCCCTGGCCCTTCCCCACCCCCTGGTGCCCACTGCCCTACTTCCTGTCTCTGAACTTGACGACTCTAGCCCCCGTGTGTAAGTGGTATTGATCTTTTCGTGCCTGGCTGACTTCACCCAGCATCACGTCCCCCAGGTTCTTCCATACTGGGGCAGGTGTCAGAATTTGTGTTTCTTTTTAAGGCTAATATCCCATTGTCCGTACATACCACATTTCTTACCCGTTCCTTTGTTGACGGGCACTTGGTGTCTGTGTTTCAGCTGTTGTGAATAACGCTGGGAACGTCGGTGTACAAATAACCTGTTATACCCTGCTGTCGTTCCTTTTAGGGGGATACCCAGAAGTGGGGTTGCTGGGCCGTATGGGAATCCTGTCTAATTTTTTGAGGAAGCACATACCGTTTCCCGTGACCACTACTCAAGTGTATATCCTTGGCGGCGGCAGCGCACATCTTTGCTAACACCAGCTATTTTTTTGTTTGTAAATACTAGCATCTTTCCCCGTATGCGGTAAACAGACTGCGTGCTGTTTCATTACTGATTTTGAGATAGGTCTAAGGGCCTGGGGGAGTGGAGGTATTGCAGGGGAGAACCATTGGCGTGTGGTGCACCTTGTGTTACACGTGAGAAGTTAGGTGGTGTGGGGATCCCTGGGTGGCGCAGCGGTTTGGCGCCTGCCTTTGGCCCAGGGCACGATCCTGGAGACCCGGGATTGAGTCCCGCGTCGGGCTCCCGGTGCATGGAGCCTGCTTCTCCCTCTGCCTATGTCTCTGCGCCTCTCTCTCTCTCTCTCTCTCTCTCTCTCTCTCTGTGACTATCATAAATAAATCTAAAAAAAAAAATTAAAAAAAAAAAAAAGAAGGTGGTGTGTATGAAACAGCAGTAGCCTGGAGTTGAAGATGTGCCTGCCCGTGGCCCCAGGAGTCTATGGTGGGTGTGTGCCTTAGAGGAGGTGGGACGCAGGGAGGCAGGTGCAGGATTGTTTGTGATAACAGAAGCGTGGAAGGGCCAGTGTGTGTGAGGAGGGAGCACATAGGGTAACTGTGGTCTCTGCATTTGGCAAAATAGTCTACGGGAAGGACCCAGCATAACGTCAGAACTGACTGCTGAACAGTATGTACTGTGTAGCATGATTTTTTTTTAAAGATTTTATTTATTCATGAGAGACACAGAGAGAGGCAGAGACAGGCAGAGGGAGAAGCAGGCTCCCTAGGGGGAGCCCGATACAGGACTCGATCCCAGGACCCTGGGGATCACACCCTGAGCTGAAGGTAGACGCTCAACCTCTGAGCCACCCAGGCATCCGTCGTGTAGCATAATTTATGTCAAATAAGCTTAAACACGCTTACTGCGTGTGGGTACACACGTGGGTTGGTGCAGGAACTAACGGGAGTAGTCGTGACCTAGTTAGGAGAATGCTTCCTCCGATGAGGGTACGTGGGCAGTGCAGCGGCGGCGACCTCACTGTCACGGCAGCGTTTTACTTTTAAAACACCCCAGATGGGCTGGAGCCGTGTGGTATAAGGCTTTGTAGTTCTCTTTGCATGTCAAAGATCTCATAATTTGCAATAAAGGTTAACACGCACCACCATCCAGCTGCCCAAGGAGCAACAAAGAGTTTCATACAGAGCAAGGTTGGCAGACCGCAGCCTCCTGTGCAGATCAAGTTCTGCTGGAACCCGGGCCACCCGTTTTCTGTATTGTCCGTGGCTGCATGGTGTGGGCTGCCTGTGTTCTCCGGAGGCAGAGCCGCGTCGCCGTAGACTGGACGGCTCCCAGGGCCACATATACCTCGTGGGCCTGTGTGCAAGAAGCTTGCCAGGCCTTGAGAGACGGCAGCGAGGCATTTCCTAGAAGCAAGAGCAAAGGGTCCCACGTTTGAGGAGCACACTCAGGATTGTCAGGAAGCCCTAAAACATTCCCGCTTATGACCGCGTGATCCAGCTTAGGAGTTCGAGAAAACATTATTTTAAACTTCGTAACGGAAATTAGACTTAACGACTCTCCTTACTAGTAAAGAGCACCAAAGGAACATGGAAAGATCTCCTAGGTGAACAGCTGTGAACCCAGGGTAGTGGGGCAAGTGTTGGGGGGGACCTCAGTGGCTCAGCCGGTCCCTGTGCTGTGTGGGAGTGGGGGTGTCGAGAATGTCTGGGGAGCTCTCACTGTACAAAAACTGCTTCGTCCCGTGTGCAGGTCACCAGGGCAGCTTCTGCATGCTGTGCGTCATGCAGAACCACATGGTCCAGGCCTTCGCCAACAGTGGCAACGCCATCAAACCCGTCTCCTTCATCCGAGACCTGAAAAGTAAGAGTCAATTCCTGACTGGATGGCAGCTGAACCCTAGTCTGCGGTGGGTGCTGGGGGCGCTGGGGGCGCAGGGAGGAGTCAGGAATGAGGCCACAGGAGTGCTGAGACCCCACGTAACAGCCCTTCGGGACACGTAGTGGTGCAGATTGAGGGAGGCTGGTGTGGGTCAGGGTCAGCGGGGAGGGCTTCGTGGAGTGGCGTGTGTGTGTGCTGACCTCCACTTTGAAGAATGGGGAGGCTCGGGCCAGTTGGGGGGCAGAGGCTGTGTCTCCAGAAGGAAGGTGAAGCCGGGGCTCTTCTGAACATCACGGGACAGGTTAGCCCCGATTTCACTTGGTAGAAGAGATGGGTCAGCTGGTTTCTGAAACCTTGTGTGGCATCCTTGTGACCAGCCTGTGCTCTGTGCTGGCTCCTGGAAAACTTGGTCATCAGTGGGTTTCACATTCTGTGGCTTTTGTGCTTTTCTGTTAAGTGTGCAGAGTACAGGCCCTCAGGTCTCGTCGAGCAGACGCTTGCCGTGAAGCCTTGGGGTTGGGACACGCGGTGTATGCTGAGGGTTCCCTCACTTGCCACTTATCCTCGGGACGGCAGGGGTGGGTCCTGCAGTGGGTTATGGGGGAGAAGGCACGAGCTCTTCCCTGCCAGTCTGACGCCTGGCTCTTTCTTTAGAGATTGCCCGGCATTTCCGCTTTGGGAACCAAGAGGATGCGCACGAGTTTCTCCGGTACACCATCGACGCCATGCAAAAGGCCTGTTTGAACGGCTGTGCCAAGTACGTGCTTCCCTTCACCACCTTCCCCGAGGGGCTACCGTGGAGGCGGCCGCTGAGCCGTGCGGAAGCCTGTCGCTGAAGAGGCAGCCACCTCCGTTCCCCCAGGTGTTCCCTGTGGATACTTGCGTCCGGGCCTGGACCTGCTGAAAGTCAGATGCGGGGCTGCGCGGCTTCCTGGGGTGGGGCCTCCCCCGCGCACCAGAGGCTTGGCAGGGCCCCCCGGAGGCTTGGCAGGGCCAGGCGGTTGTGGGGGGAGCCCTGTCCTAGCAGCTCGCTGCAGGGAAGATGCTTTGGCAGATCTTTCTGACGGCCTTCAGCTATTGTCCTGGACTCTCCCCGTTTTTTAAAAATCACCTCATTATTCTGATAACAGAGGATGGGGTGGTAGGAATTCCAACATCTTTATGAAAGAACTTGAAAGCATGCAGGGACATTTTATAATTTTTGAGGTTTTATTCTGCATAGTTAAGGATTTCTTCATTTTAAATTTGAAAGCAGAGACAAACACCCATGACATATTGCTGACTTCATGCCGTGTCTTCCTTTCTGTGGAACAGTTACAGCCAGGGGTGTTTCTGTACTGCTGACTCCTGGGTTCAGGCCAAGGGACGCCTGGGTGGCTCAGCAGCTGGGCTCTGCTTTCGGCTCAGGGCGTGATCCTGGAGTTCAGGGATCGAGTCCCACGTCGGGCTCCCTGCATGGGGCCTGCCTCTCCCTCTGCCTGGGTCTCTGCCTCTCTCTATGTGTGTCTCTCATGAATAAATAAATAAAATCTTTAAAAAAAAGGATAGAGACCGAAAACACTCCCTGTTCTGAGGCTGTGGCCTGGGCTTAGGTTAGAATGAAGTCCTGGACTCTGGGAATCCCCCTTAAACAGCTTAAGAAACACCCAGAACATCCTTTGGCAAAGTCCAGTTGTAGCAATGATCATGAGAAACCTCTGATCAGCGGATGAGATTCTTTTTAAACCCCGAGAAAACTTCTCATGTGTCCCTCTGGCATTTGTCCCTTGCTGTGCAGAGATGTGCGGTGTGGTCCCATGCTCTCCCCTTCCCTCCCTGCAGGCAGGCAGACGCTGGCTCTGCCCTCTGTGCATCTCCCCACCCCACAGCTGAGCTCTCTGCTGATGCCTCCTGTGTGCCAGGCACTGTGTTAGCTCTGGGTACTTCCTCGAGTTGGAGGAGCTCAGAGGGAGGGGAAGGCAGATACTGGCCAGTGTCTACAAGGTCATGTATTAAGGGCTGTTGTGGAGGGAGCCCGTGGGAGCCATTCCCAGGAGGATCCTGCTGTGCCCTTTCCCTCAGCTGGCCTCCTAGGAGGGGTCACCCAAGACTCCAGTTAGGGGAGGGAGGAGGCCTGCAGAGGTGGTAGAGGCTGTGGCCTCCCTGCCGTGCAGGTGGGTACGGCACGTGCCCCGCAGCGCTTCCCAGCCCTGATCACAGGGTGGAATCACCTGGGAGGTTTTAGGACAGCTGCGGACTCTGACACCCTGTCAGCTTCGTCACCCGGACTCTCCAGAGGTGGGAGAGAGAGTCCAGGAGGGATGGGCTGGCAGGTAGGATGGATGGAAGTTCAGGCTTTGGGCCGCGGGGCCGGGAGGAGCCCAGGCTTGTGGTCTGGGCGGCAGGGTGGGCGGCGGTGAGCCTCTCTCGGTTCAGGGCCCAGAAGTGGCCATGTGTGGTTGGGAAGACAAGTGCGTCTGACGTCTGATGCGCCAGGCGTGGCTGGCATCAGCGCAGGGGGTTGTCGGATGCTTTCCCCGAGCCGTCTGTGGGAAAGACGTCGCTGCTTAGTGAAATGAGAAAAAATAAGAGTTGCATTAGCTCAGTTACTGAATTTGATCTGCAGGTGGAAGTGACTTTTTTTTCCCTTTGGTTTTGTTAAAAAGCTTGTGAGCAGAGAGCATTTATAGTATTTCTACCTCGTGGCACTTCCCGGGGGTGGCTTGGGGCGGCTCGGGGTGCGTCTATATGCACGCCTGCTGTGCTCGCTTCCTCCCACCTCGGTCTGCACCAGGACCGTGGGGTTCGTCTCCCGTTACTGGTGAGCTCCGGCCTCCTGTGCCTCCTGCAGCGTTCACCCTGTAAACGTGGCTGCTCTCGCGGGGCCCACGGCCATCGTATCTTTGCCAAAAGCCCGATTCTTTCACAGGCCAGTTCAGCCCCTTCACATTTATTGTTACGACTGAGGTTTGGTCTTGACCTGCTGCCCCAGCCGTGACCCTGAGATTTAGGGTTATCACACACGGCTCGTGGGCTGTTTCTCCCTCACTTTTGAAACTTTGCACAATAATTTTTGAGCTTTCGTCTGGTAGCTCGGAAGGCCTGTACCTCCGTCCAGTGACGGTGCTGCACGTGCCCTTGCAAACACCTTGCTGCTCTCCTGGAGCACGGTTCAGTCCGGCAGTGTTCAGTGCCGCCCGGTCCCTCCTCCCTCCTTCCCTCTTCTCTCACCCAACTCGCAGGTGCATTATTTCCTACCTTGTTGGGATATAAAGATTTCTGTGATCTCCTTCCCCATTCATCCCCACCTTTGGTTCAGTCTTTCCCTGTTAAGTAAGCCCAGAGCGGCCTGTCCTCCCGTCTGGGCTTTGCTGCGTTTCTGGGAGCCTGAAGCTAGTCCCTCCCTCTTGACCTTGCAAGGACCTTACCCTAGAGGATTCAGGATCTTTTTCTGCTCTTTAAAGTCTGATGATTTGGGAGCACCTGGGTGGTTCAGTCACTGAAGCATCTGCCTGCAGCTCAGGTCATGATCTCAGGGTTCTGGGATCGAGCCCTGCATCGGGCTCCCTGCTCAGTGGGGAGTCTGCTTCTCTCTCTGTCGCTGCCTCTCCTCCTGTTTGTGTTTGCATTTTCTCTCTTTCTCTCTCGAATAAGTAAAATCTTTAAAAAGAAAAAAAGTCCTATGGTTTCACGAGGAACACTTTTAGAACTGATTGTTGTCAGTCAGTCTTCCTAGATGCTCAGTGATGCCGAGAGGGTGAGCCTGTGGCATGCGTGGACTCTGGCATCATCTGCGTGGAAACCAGTTTCTACGGACACGAGCCTCGGCCGTAGGCAGCAGGCACGTAGTACCCACGCACCATCACTTGTGCATCAGCTCAGCTTGGATATCCTGGCTTGAGAATTTGCAGTGATGAACTAGGCAGACGCTGCCCATCGGCGTGTCATGCCACCAGGTGCCCGTGGGCTGTGCGCCGAGCCTCCGCCCGCTGGCCGTGGTGACTCTGCTGCCTCCAGAGCACGCAGGGGTTTGGTTCATGTTTTCCTCGGTCAGGGTCTCCAGTTACTGGAGGTCTCCCGCTGGACCACCTCGTCGGTCTCGGCGGCTCTTTCTTTACCTGATCTCCCCTCCGGCTGCTGTCCCGCCTTGTCACGCCCCAGCACCCTGTTCAGTGAACCTCTTCTCCGTCGCCCTTGCAATTCCTGCCTCATCCCCAATGTGATTTCATTTCTTCCCTCCACATCAGCTGAATGTCTCTGTTGGCTCTTTTTTATTTTTAGTTGCAGAACTTCTTACAGTGATCTTCCCTCTCCCCAGACACTTGTTTGAGGATCTTTAGTTCAGCCTGGAATTTCGTATTGCTCTATTCATCTCCCTTGTACTCGTTTTCTGGGGGCTCATCGTCAGACGAGATGATTCTCGTTCAGGGTTTCCCGCCGGCAGCGCCCGTGCAGGACTGAGGCTGCTTCAGCACTGCCCTGGGCCTGCTGCTCCGTGTGGCTGCCCATCCGGGGTGCCGTGAGCCGCACCTTCTGTCCCCGGAGCCGAGCGCTGGAAGGCCCCAGCGTGGCGTGTGTATCTCAGGACCCTGCGCTCTCCCCTCTGCTTCTGCGCCCTTTCCACCGCTGTCTGCTGCGGAGCCCGCCTGCCTCCCAGCCTCGCTTCCTGTGGGCTCCTCTTGCTGCCAGGCCGCCTCTGCTACCCGGGCTCTCCCTTCGCATTCTCCAGACTGGCCTTCTTGTCCAGCAAGGCTCTGGCAGGAGCGTGGAAGACGGCTTGCTGGAATCTGGCTCTACCTCCCACTTGGGGCTGGTTTGAGGTCTGAGCTTGCTTGGCCTCAGGCGCCCCGGGAGAGGGTTCTATGCAGGTGTTTGCTCCTCCTTCTCACGGCCCGGTGCGGGGCCAGGGCCCCCTGGACCTCAGCAGCCACCGTCACGTGTGCCTGGCCACAGGCTTCCAGTTCGTGCTGAGAGGACATCCTCGATGGTGTGGGGAATTTAAAGCTTCCCCCTCTTGACGAATGGTGGTGAGAGTACATGGTGGCAGTTAGCTTTTCATTTCCTAATTTTGCAAAATGAAAATGTGCCCTGGTGGTGTCCTCACCACATGGAGTCCCGCTCCCCAGTGAGCTCGTGGAGTCTGGGCAGCGCTGCTGTGGCCGGTCCACACTGCCCGTGGGGCGCCGTGTGCAGGGGGGCAGGGAGGAGAGCGCTGCGAGGCGGCACCGTCTAGTGCCCGGCCCAGAACTCAGGGAGTCAGGGGAGGCGTCTGCAGAGCTGGGGCGCAGGAGACGTGCCCGTGGAGGGAGAACGGTCCCGTGAAGGAGCAGCTGCTCGTCCAGGGCTGTCGTGTTCCCACACAAAGACCACTGTCAAGTGGATTTGTGTCCCAGGGGCTTGGTGACTCTGAGGAGGGCAGTTCCAGGGAGTGGGAGCCAGATTCAGGGGGTCGCAGGCAGATACAGGAGTGGAGGCTAGAGTCAGGGTGTTGTTTCCAGAGTCTTGGTCACATGAACAGCTGTGGGTGCAGATGCTCTGCCTACCTGCTCTGTGGGGCAGTGAGCAGCACTGGGGGATGGGGGGAGCCTCAGATCCTGGCGGGTAAACGGGGTGGGGGGATTGAGTACAGCCCCTCCCAACTCGAGTCCACTGCCATCCTGCCGAAAGATACGGAGGTGGGGGTTTGTCCCACTTACTCCCCCTCTTCAGATAAGAAGCATAGGACTGAGGACATCTGGTCCAGGACTGAAGCACAATGAGCTGGGGGGTGAGGGCAGAGCGCCCCACCAATGGGACTGCACGGGCACTAGGAGTATTTCTCTGGCCTCTGGTTTCCTGCGAGGTGGGGGGTGAAGTGCCTGCGGGGAGGATGCGGTCTTGAAGGACTGGGGTGGCTGTTGTGGGGAGTGGCCCCCGCCCATCAGAGCAAGTGGCACAGCTGGGCCCACGGAGAGGCAGGCCGAGCCTGTCAGACCTGCGCTGGGGTGCTAGGGTGTCCCAGGAGCATGCTGGGCTGGGCTGGGCTAGGCTGGGGAGGATGGGGTGGGGAGGATGGAGCAGGGAGGATGGAGTGGGGGCTGCCTTCTGTCCCTCTCTTGAAGGCTGTGGCCTCCTTTCCAGGTTGGATCGTCAAACGCAGGCAACGACTTTGGTCCATCAGATTTTTGGAGGCTATCTCAGATCCCGTGGTAAGTGAAGACGTTTTCTCTACCCCTTTGTCAAGGATGAGAATATGAACCAGGAAAGATCAGGAGTTCGAGCCCAGGTGGGGCCCCTTCCTGGCGAGCAGACCTGGGCGAGCCATGGAGGCACCAGCCTCCTCTGAAACGCACCATTGCCCATGGGCACACTGTTCCCAGGAGGAAGTTTGGAGCAGAATGTCCACGTGTAGAGGAGGGTGGCATTATCTTTCCTCTGAGTCCTTAGTTCCTCACATGTGGCCTCTGCCCTTCAGCTGGGGGCTGGGGCTGTCTAGGCCATGGGCAGGGACAGAGGCTCGTCACTGGGCTGGGCGGCCTGGCGCTGAGCTTGATGGACATTCCCTTGTGAACTCTGGTCATCGGCGAGCTCTCTCCAGAGGAGGGTTTGCGTGGGGCTGGCTAGGTCTTGGAGACCGGGGGGTGGTGCGCTGGGGGCACCTGCACCCGCCCCACCGCCTGTGTGTTCCGTTGCAGTGAAGTGCTCGGTGTGCAAGAGCGTCTCGGACACGTACGACCCCTACCTGGATGTGGCGCTGGAGATCCGGGTAGGGAACATGGCTCCGCTGGGTTGTGTTTGCCTTAGGACGGGGAGGCTGGAGGGGAACCCGGTGGGGGTGTGTCACCCAGGTAGATTAGGAGCGAAGTACGGGGAATCCTCCTGCCTTAAAGTAGGGGCCACCATTTTTCCCTGTGCCCTTTCCTTTTGTTTAAAATGAGGTGAAATGTAGCTTTGCGCCCTGAGGGGATGAGGGGTGAGCACACCGTAGATGCGTGTAGATGCGAGGCCTGGGAGGGCAGCCCTCTGTTGCTGCAGCCGGGCCGGGTCATGGGCGCCCGCAGAGCTGGCTTCACCGCCTGCTCCCCTGCTCCTTTCCACTCCTTGTTCTTCTGCGGTTGACGCCCCTCTCCGTTTCTGTCCTCAGCAAGCGGCTAATATCGTGCGTGCTCTGGAACTGTTCGTGAAACCAGATGTCCTGAGTGGAGAGAATGCCTATATGTGTGCCAGGTAAGTTTGATTTTATTCCAGCAGCGAGACACCCCCCCCGCCCCTGTCGGGGAGACCCCCACTGTAGCCAGCCTCGCTGGGGTGCTCGCTGGGGTTGGGATGGCTGACGTCTATTTACATCACACCTGGCGGGTGCCCTGATGGCTCCTCCCCTAGGAGGTGGGCCCCCGAAGTAGCGGCACAGGGTGAGGAGGTGACTGCACAGGGCCATCCCGCCTCCTGTGGCCACCAGCAGCCTTAGCGCACGTATCTGTGGCCCCGTCTCCTGAGGGTCAGACTTAGCGGGGGTGTGGGGCGAGGTACCTCCTGTGTCATTCATTTAGAAGCTGTAGCCACTAAAGAATATTTTTCCTACTTAAGCTTTTCAGATTTATTATTCCGTGCCCAAACGCTGCCTTTGCCGCTCTGTAAATTTGTCTGTCCATGCCCTGGGGGCTGTCTTCTTTCCTTCATCTTCTCCCCTCTCACTGGTCTTCCGGCCTTGCTCACCATGATCTCCCGCCTGCCGCATGTCCCCCGCCCACAGGTGCTCCTGTTTCCCAGGGCTGCTTCCCGTGCATCTGACTCAGTGGCCTCTGTGGGAAAGAGCTTCCTTGTCGCTTTACGGTCTGCAGCTTTCCCCTGGTCCCTGGTTCCCTGGACCAGCTGCCTTTTCGCTTAAGTCGTGGGGTCCGTGTCTCGGGAGGAGAGGGGAGAGGAGACCCTGTGGTGACAGAGCAAGTGTTTTGTGAGCTCCCCTGAGCACGGCGTTCCTCGGAGCACCAGCTGACACCTTTTCCGCTCACCGTCCTCACAGATGCAAGAAGAAGGTTCCAGCCAGCAAGCGCTTCACCATCCACAGGACGTCCAACGTCTTAACTCTCTCCCTCAAGCGCTTTGCCAACTTCAGTGGGGGGAAGATCACGAAGGTGAGCCTTCGCCGTGGTGTCCAGACTGCATGGTCGGCCGCCCTTAGGAAGACAGGTTCCCAGCTCTACCCCAGAGCCAGCAGCTGAAAGTCTCCGGAAGACAGGGCTCAGGAGTCTGCGTTTTTCCAGAATCCCTAAATGGTTGTCCTGCACAGTCAGGTTCAAGAACCATAGTCTTCCTGGGTTCTCTTTGCCTCCCTCTGCCTGTACGTGGCTTGTTCCCAGTACAGAAGCGTTTTTTTTTTAAGAACAAGCCTGGGGAGCGCTGCTCTGAGTGGTTCTGATCCACCCTGTGCTGTTTGGCGACTAACATGGTGCAACTGTGCACCGTGGCTTTTGTGGAAGGTAAAAACTTACTTTTGCATAATGGCCTTTTATTTCATCTTATTTAAGTCACCTGTACCCTCCCGTGGGGCTTGAACTCCTGACCCCAAGATCAAGAGTCAGATGCTCCCTCAACCCAAGCCCACCAGGCGCCCTGCACAATGGCAGTTTTTAACAGAAATTGTCATTAGCATAAGAATGGTCAGAGACGACTTAGGTGGTTTGGGACTTAGGTGGTTTGGGGCAAGGCGCTTGTCGGTCTCTCACCTTCCTCACAGGCAGTGATGGGGGCTTGCTTACATCAGCGTTTCCCAAACTGGCGTTCTGCAGAAGGTTTGTGCTGTGTGCTTACAAGATGCTGTATTTTGAACATACAATTGTATTGTTTTTCTTATTATTATTTTTTCATACAACTGTATTGTACTTTGAAACCATTCTGTGCTCAGCTGAGTTTGAGAACTGCTAAGCTGAAGTTCAGCAGTCCTTTTTAATTGCAGGCCTTCTCAGAGCCTTTATGAATAGCTGTGTTGCATTTTAAATCTCTAAGATGGAGCTTTATTGTGAAGAATTTTCTAAAGTTAATTGTTTGAGGTCCATTCATTCATCTTACTAATATTTATGCACTCACATCTTACCACACGTGCAATGCACCAGGAAGTCGGTGGGACACAGTCAGTGATAAATGAGATCATTGTGGCTTTGCCCTGAAGAGCTCATGGTTCACCTTAGTATCTCCTGGAATTGGTTTCCGTGGGAATAAAGTTTGAGAAACATTGGTCTGTTTGATCTTGCCCGTATCTGGCAAGATTGGATCAGAGGTCACGAGCTTGTTCTTCGTATTAGCTGTTGAGACTTCGAGTCAGGGGAAGGAAGAAGGTGTGTAGGGTCAGGGCCACGACAACGTTGACCTAAAGAAGCCAGAGACAACCAAGTGTGCACCCTGTGTCTCTGGTTGGAGGAAGCTCAGGAACAGGCAAAGCCGATTGATTGGTATTGGAGGGGGAGCCGTTCCCCGGGGCGTGAGGGACGTTCTGGGTTGATGTCTGTGCCCTGATGGGAATATGGGTTACCGTCAGTAAACGTTTGCTAGACACGTCCCGCTGTGCACCTGAGAGCTCTACGGTTCACTCTACATCAGTTACACCATTTTTAGAGTCAGCGTGTATAGGGGCCCCTAGGTGGCGCAGCCGGTTAAGCGTCTGACTCTTGGTTTCAGCTCAGATCTTGGTCTCAGGGTCTGGACATCAAGCTCTGCATCGGGCTCCAGGCTCAGCGAGAAACATACTAAAGTTTCTCCCTCTTGCTCTCTCCCTCCCTGTGCACACACCGGCTCTCTCTCAAATAAATCCATCTTTTTTTTTTTCTTTTTAAGTCCGTGTGTATAGGCAGAGACACAGGCAGATAAACCTCCCATTCAGAGATTTCTGAAAAAAAAAAAAAAATTCCCTTCCCTATGAAAAATTGTTAAATTTTGGAATAAATTCTGGCCTGACCTTTGTCCTGACCCACACAGCTGTAGTTTTGATGTACTGTGACCATTGACTCCATGGAGTGAGCATCTTTTTCTCTGAGGACCTGGACCCAGGTGTCACCTCTCTGTTTCCTTACAGTGGCAGGGAGGGCGTGAGCTGTTCCTCTCGTCTTACACTTGGGGTCCACACAGGGCGAGAGTGGCCGTGGATGCAGGGCAGAGATAGGAGTAGACTGTGAATCGCTTGACAGGATGATAAAATAGGGTTTCACGTCAGTTAGTTGGAAAAAGGTCTTCTCTACCTATTTAACCCTTGACTAGGGGGCTTCTAGCCACAGCGTTGCCACACGCCCGGTCGCCCCAGATTGTCAAAGACCAGCTGAAGAATCGTGCATTTTATGTGGTTGTGGCTGGAGAGGATGGATTGACCCTTCCTCTCACTGATGGATTCTCATTGCCCTGTCCTTGGCTCTTCCTCCAGGATGTAGGCTATCCGGAGTTCCTGAATATCCGTCCGTATATGTCCCAGAGCAACGGCGAGCCTGTCATGTACGGGCTGTACGCCGTCCTGGTCCACTCGGGCTACAGCTGCCACGCGGGGCACTACTACTGCTACGTGAAGGTCAGTACTTTCATGTGCAGGTGCGTTTGCACCCCTCCTGCGCCATTCTCCCCCCTGTGGGCACGGGTTTGCAGTGCCTGTTGGTACAGTTCCAAATGTGGCCTCTGCAGAACGTTTGCGCACAGAGAGTGGCCTTGTTTCTAGTTGTGTTCAGGTCCTGTTGTTGCTTCAGGGAATGAAGGGCAGAGAGGACGTGAAAGCCCATCACACTGGGAGCTGTAGCATCCTTGTACCTGGACAGGACATGGGAGGGGGCCTGCTTCCAGGGCTCTATCCTAGAATCCTGGCGGGGGCTGGGGAAGGCTGGATAGTGTGGGAGATGCTGCACTGGGCAGGCCCGGAATACCCTTCAGAGGGGAAAGCTCAGGTCTCTGGGGCCCCAGGAAGAAACATGGGTTCAAAGCACGCCTCGCAGTCCCATTCATAATCATACAAGCATCAGACGCGTTAATATTAAATCATTGTTAATTAGCATATGAGTATATGTGGCCTTTAACAGCAGGTTTTATTTCTTGTTTTTTTTTTTTTTAATTTCTTTAAAGACTTTATGAGAGACAAGAGACAGAGGCAGAGACGCAGGCAGAGGGAGAAGTAGGCTCCATGCAAGGAGCCCAATGTGGGACTCGATCCTGGGACCCCAGGATCACACCCTGAGCCGAAGGGAGGTGCCAAACCACTGAGCCACCCAGGCATCCCTTATCTGCTGTTTTAAAAACTAAAGATTAAAGGGCACCTTAGTCACAAATAAATAAATAAAATCTTTAATTAGTTAATAAATAAATACTAAAGATTATGGAATACAACTTGATTGTTCCGGTTTTTTTTTTGTTGTTTTTTTTGCCACACCCTGTGCTGCTTCAGGCAAGCAACGGACAGTGGTACCAGATGAACGATTCCTTGGTCCATTCTAGCAACATCAAGGTGGTTCTGAACCAGCAGGCCTACCTGCTCTTCTATTTGCGGTGAGTAACTTCTGCCCCCTGCCCCCGTGAGCTCTTTCCCTCTGTCCTTCCCTTGCCCCGAGGGGTTTCCCTGGCCTGTTTCTGTCTGGGCACAACGGGGAGCTCTGCAGGAGGGGAGCAGAGCAGCTCTCATCTGGGTCACGTGAGGGAGCAACCACAGGGAAGGCTCCTTTACACCAGGCCAGCCTAGCTGCTGAGTAACAGCCAGAGCCTCTGGGAAGGTCAGAGCAGGATTCCATCTGCTTGTTCCGCATTACGGTGACTTTGAATATAAATGGGAAAGTTACCTACTATTTCATATTGTTGCCCCGAGTTAGATGTGTTGTGTCTGGATGTCCGCTGGCCAACACACCCTCCCAGTAGGCAGTGAAGGAACTTGTCAGAGGGTGGAGGCCGCAGCAGGGCACCTTCCTTGGGGCCGGTTATCACCGAGCAGGAGGTTGGAGGACGTGGAGACCGGAGACATTTTTGCTCCTTCCTGCACAGATGTTCTGCTGAATTTGGATGCTGATGCAGCAACTGAGGGTTCTCGTTGGCTTTCTGGGCCAGTGAGAATCTAGTCTTGGTAGAGCTCTGACTCTGGTTGGCTCTCTGTTTATGCTGAGGAGGTGTCCGAGGCTACATGACCACTCTATGTTGTTGCAAGGGCAAGGTGGGAGTTCAGAGAAGCACGCCAGGACAGGTGGGGTTCTCTGTGTCATGCCTCTGTGGCTTCAGTGAGAGATCCCCGACTGGTTTTCTTCCTTCGACAGCATCCCAAGCTCTAAGAGGAGTCCTGATGGCTCCCTCTCCAGGACCGTCTCCTCTATTCCTGGCCGTCCAGGGCTGGTCCCAGACCACTTCAAGAAGAACATTGGCAATGGAACTGTTTGCTCCCCACTGATTGGAAAGGTACGTATTTAAAAGAATCTGTGTTTATATAGCAGATCTTCCTGCCTGTGCCTCTCTGGTGACCGTGGAGCTCCCAACCTCTTCATGCTAAGGAATTCAGCCGGACGGAAGGAGAGCTCATTGTGTCCTGTTTTACTCCATGTTCTCTGTTAAATTGGTCACGAGCTGACATTGGGGGAGGAGGAGGGGCAGTGATGAGAAAACCTGACCCAGCAAGTGACTCAGACTGTACATCAGCCTGCCCCTGTCCTAGACCAGCTGCCGTTGCCCAAGTGTAGTGACAGGCTCGCCCGAGCTTACTCAGCCTGAAACATCTGGGGAGAGTGTTTTTGTATCCTCACAATTCAGTACCGAAAACGTAGGCAATTTCTAGCAATGCTAATTTCCTGCTTTTGATCTCTATGCTGTGGTTAAGAAAATGTCCTTGTTCTTAGGAATGTACACGGGCATATTTAGGAGTAAAGGGACATCACATCTAAAATATATTCCGATAGGAAAAGAACCGTCACATGTCCACGCGTACACATTTGCACATAAGTGCTTGGAGCCAGCAAGCAAGAAAGCTAATGTGGTAAAACGTTAACAGTTGGGAAATACCCTCATTTTCAAGTTATTTTTGTTGGAAGGTGTTTTTATGTGTATTTGGATTTTTTACTAAAAGTCAGTTTTACTAGCAAAGTAGTGAGCAATTTCCTTACTACAACACAGACTGCAGACCAATCCCCTCTGCCAACTGCAGATCGGAACACGGGCTGCCGGGACCTTCACAGTCTGCAGGGCTTTAGTCCTTTATGCAAATCTGCATTTCCCTGCCAACGTGTGAGGAATAGAGGCTTTGGGATTGACATGACAAGGAAGAGCCACGGCCTGGTTGCCAAGGGGGTCGTCACTGTGGCCCCGACCAGAAGTCGATACCACGGGGCCACGCCACTGGCCACACATATTTACATCACGGAGATAACATTCCACACACCCTACAGTGGCACAAAAACCACTTTACTTTAAATAACATTGTGTAAGTTCCAGAAACTTAAATGCTTGTCTTATAGTACAGCGGATCCTGTACTATAAGAACGTACTGTACTGTATAGTACAGTACATTCTCTTTAGAAAGAACGAAAGTAAAGAATAAATTATTTTTAAATGTAGGGGGAAAAGGAGGAAAAAAAAAAAAACTTGGAGGAAAGTAGAAGTGAATTAATTCTCAGTAAACCTCCTGAAGAGAGAAGACTTTATAAAAGGGAAAACAGATTTTAAATTGGATTAACTAAGATTGGAATTTTTGTATATGAAATAAAGGAATAAGGAAGCTGCTTCAGGTGGAGCTGGGCACACCTGGGGGGAGAGCGGGGACAAGCAGACGGGGTGCCAGCAAGTTCTCCAGTGCTTCTGCTTGGCCAGTGGGTGGAACTCTGGTGCATTGTTTTTTCCTTTATACTTGTTTGTATTTCTTCACTCCTGACGGGAAGCATCCAATGTCAGTAGAGGTGAGCTCAAAGATACACTCGCATGCGCACCACTCACGAAGTACTGAAAGGGCTCAAAGAAGCAACAGTGTCTTGGCCGTGTGTCCGTTAGATGGTCTGGCTTGAATCCCACCTGGGCTGAAGGTTCTCTGACCTGGGGGGAGAACCGGCCTGTGCTCCCTCCAGGGTGTGACCATGTCCTCTGCTCTGCTCTCCCCCAGCGGCTAGACCCTGTGACGGTGAAGAAGCTGCCCGCCACTGAAGAGCTTGGCGTGCCCGTTTCCAGGAACGGCTCTGTGTCGGGTCCAAAGTCTCAGAATGGATACGTTCCTCCAAAGCCACCCGTGGGGTCCCCTTCCCCCCGACTCTCCAAGACACCCCCTCACACCCCAACCATTCTGGATGAGCCTGGAAAGAAAGTCAAGAAATCGTCTCCCCTGCAGCACCTCTCCCCGTCACGCAAAGCTTCTCAGGGGTTCCATGGTACCAGCAACGGGAGCGGCAGCAGGAGCGAGGGCCACCGGCAGGGCTCCTGGGACGGCAGGGGTACCGCCCTCTCTACCTCACCCAGGCTCCCAGCCCGAGTGACTGCCAACGGGCACGGGCCCAAGGCGGGTGGCGCGAGCCCCGAGCTCGATGGGAGGGATTCCTGCAGCTCCAGTCCAGAGCACTCTGCCAGCAGTGACCCCGCCAACGCCCCCAGACGCCCAAGAGCGGAGCTGCCCACTTGGGTGATTCTCAGGGAACACATTCTTCCGCTGCTGGCCACTCCAGAGCGCTGCCGAATGGAGACGACGCCAAGGCAGTGAAGCCCAAGGCCCCTGTCCTGAGCAACTCCGCCACCGAGCCCGCAAGCATCATGTCTCCTCCACCAGCCAAAAAACTGGCCCTTTCTGCCAAGAAGGTGGGTGTGTGGGAGTCTTCCCGCCGGAAGTACATCTGTAGGGCTCAAGGAGCAGGTTTGGCTTTAGTCTAGGGGTGCGGGCAGTTGTGCTGGGGCCTTTGGGCTCCCCCGGTCAGAGGAGCAAAGCCGTCACAGGCATTTGCGGATGACACAGGGCTGTCCTGAGGCGAAGGCGGGCATTTGGGAGACCCTGATGGGGTGACACTGTGGCTGCTGGGGGTCGGGGCAAGGTGGCAGGTGCCAATATTCGTCCGTAGACAGAAGAGGCTTCCTAAAGAAGCCTTCAGGGGAAGATGGGGCAGGTGCAGGGGGCGGGCAGAACACGGGCTGGCTGGCACCTCTGTGTGTAGCACGAAGCTCAATGATGTAATTGTTGTGCTGAGATTTTTGTTTAAATTTCCTTCCTTTTTTCCTTTTTGTTTCTAACCAAAAACACTTCTGATTCTTCTTCTACCATTCCCCCCTTCCCCACCTCCCCCCATTTTTTTCTCCTTCTGTCCCCTCATCCTTCTTTCTGGGCTCTTTCATTTTTATTTTTTTTTATCTTATTTTTTATTTTATTTTTATTTTCCCTCTTCACTCACGGCAACCTCTTTTAGACCACCAAGTTTTTATTTATGTCAATAACTGCAGGCCAGCACCCTGCGGAGGGCAGCCGGCAATGACCTCCGTCCGCCCCTCTCACCACTGTCCGAGCTCACCTACCCCAGGAAAACCACTCACCCCGTCGCCGCCGCCTCCTGGCCTGTCCATGCAATCAGGTGAGCCGTGGGCGCAGGCCCCCGGGCCGGCCGCTCCTCCCCTGTGCTTAGCGTGTGCTTGGCTGGTGAAGACGCGTGCGGTCTCCAGCCTTGCAGGATGGACGGTGGTGTGCGGCTGGACAGGTACAGGGCCTATCCTGCACCGACTTTCTGTTTTCTCCCTCTCCATCTGGCGGAGGAGCTTCAGCTGTGCAGAGGCAGTCTGGTCTCTGCCGTCCTGATCTTTTCACTTTTGTCTTCGTTGTCCGTGCCTCCACCGTGTCTGTGTCGGGGTGCTGACGTGCCCGCGGATCCCTCCCCAGCCTTGTGACGATTCCATGGGAGAAGAGAAAGGCAGGAGTCCCAGAAGGACCCTGCTTGAGCTCAGAAACCTGTGACCCTGTTGAGGGGTGTCTTCTTGCTGCCGGTATCATTCTGTATCTTCCACCAGTGCTCCCCTAGCTCTCTGACTCCTTAGCCCCACCCGGGGACACCCTGCATGGGCTCTCCTGGCTGAACCCTCACACTGGCTTACAGAGCTTCGGGCAGGCATCCAGAGCAGGGATGTGTGGTTCTCTGGGAGCTCTGTTCGGGCTCCCCAACACACCCACCTCCCATCCCGTGACATGGGGTGCTTATATCCCTTAGGATGTTGGGTGGCACATGGCTGAGTTACTGACACTTGGCTGCCCACTGGCTGATGGGGCCTCATCAGCTGGGGAGGGGGGAGGAAGGAAGCTAGGTGAGGCCAGGAGGTGGTTTGGGTGGTTTGGGGTTTCCCCAGGCCCCGATGTGTCCTCCCCACCATCCGGCCACTCCTTTGGGTGCTGCCTGCTGCACCACCTTGTTGTGCAGCCCCTCCCACCGTCCTGCTCGGGCTGGACCCAGCACAGTATTTTTGCACGTGGTAGATCCCTAAATGTGGAAGGTATTTGCTATGTTTGTTTGTTTGTTTGTTTTCATTTTGGACATACGATCTTTTTTAAAACTTCCTAGAAAACAGTAAGTAGTGTAGTAAGTAGTACAGGCCATTCAGGCGTCTGTCCTGGTTTAGGTAACGCTAGTCCTGTTTGATTCCGTAGCCCTTTGAGGGCAGCGTTATTGTAGCTCGGTCACAATGAGAAGAGGGAAGCCCGGAGCAGGAGGTTGACTCTTGCAAGGTCACATCGCTGGCAAGACGTGGGTCGGAGAGCCTAACCTAATGGAGCTCCGGGTCCGGCCCCTTCCTCGTCTCGCTACGTGATCGGCTGCGAAGTCCATTTCCCTGATTTTCCACAGCCCCCGAATCAGAGGAGAATCCTTGCGTACGATGTATAGAACTGCACTGACCCATCTTAAGAGGCTGTCGTCCTGGCGCCAACACCTTGAGGTGTCGTCTTAAGAGGCGCCAACACCTTGAGGCATGTGGGCAAGTTTAGAGAGGCTTCTCTGCTAACACATTTATGTTGAAAATTAGTAACGTTAGTTGGGGCACCTGGGTGGCGCAGTCACTTGGGCGGCCAACTCTTGATTTTTGGCTCAGGTTGTGACCTCAAGGTTGTGAGATCGAGTCCTGCATCGGGCTCCGTGGTCAGTTTGCTTGAGATTCCCTCTCTCCCTCTGCTCCTCCTCTCACTTGTGTACGTGCATTCTCGCTCGCTCTCTGTAAAACAAATCTCTTTCAAAAAAGAAGATCAATAATGCAAGTTTGGAAAAATACCTCAAACTGCTTGGCGATAGAAAACAAAGAGAGAGGTTTTGATTTTCAGTGAATTTGAATATTATCACTTGTGTCATTTCTAACTCCGTGTAATTTACGTGTATCTGAGATTCACAGAGGGGAGGATGGTGGGAAGCCCTTACCTGGATGGGCAGGGGGCTAGGGGCGGACAGGAGGGGCCTGCCTATGCCTCAGAGCAGCATGTCTCCACAGGGCGCTTTCACCTGCTCCCAGACCATCCAGCCACCTGAAGCTCCCCGTTGGTCCCCGCTCCGCGTCACTGTCCAGTAGCCCCCGACCTCCCGGGACGTCAGACCCACAGAGCTGCTCCTCCGCCCCTGCTCCCCCGCCTCAGGTCAATGGGGACTTCCAGGCCCCTCCACACCAGCTGCCAGAGGCCAGCAAGTCCCCCCAGAGCCTCTGTAAGAAGAGAAAAAGGAACCGCAGGGGAGAGAGCCAGGGGCAGAGCTCAGAGACGTGCACAGCAGGGGCAGGCTCTCCAGCAAAGAGGAGAAGGAAGAAGAGGAAGCGCACGGAGGCCATGGATGTGTCCCCCCTGCAGGAGGGGCAGATGCAGCAGCAGCCCTGGAGTCTCGAGCGCAGCAAGGAGGCCCGGGCAGAGGTGCCCGCCGACAGACTAGAGGACAATGGTGGACGGCAGCAAGAGAATGGCCAGCAGGTGGGAAGCGTGACCGACAGCCACCATGTGAGCAATAGGAAGAGGAGACGGAGGGGAGCAGAGGGCCTCGGTGCAGAAGACCGCCTCCAGCAGAACCCACCTTGGCACAGGTGAGAGCTGGGAGCTGGGCAGCCCGGCACCTCCACCAGCACCACGGTCCGTCCTAGCTGGGTCATCTGGAAACCCAGTGAACTGGCCGGGTTTCTGGGACGTGACCGTCTTTAAGTGGATGGGCTGGTGAGTGGATGGCATCCTTGTAGATGGCCAGCCCCACGTGCGGGTGGTCACGTGACCCCAGGTCAGCAGGCGCTGCGGCCCCATCATCTGGCCTGTAGGACTCGCCTGCCCTAGTTGGCTCTGACGTCTCGGGCATGGCTGTGGCCCTGGACCACTGGTATGCTTTGTCCTGCTCGCGTCTGGGGCTGTTTCTCAGGCTGGCTCTGCTGCAGGCCTGAGGCCTATGCGGTTGGGAGGCCTGGGGTATCTGGACCTGAACCCCCACTCCCACCCTCCACTTGCCCAGAGCTCACTGTTGACTCTGACTCCCAGGAGCTGCTCTCCCTTGGACATCATCGAGCTGGAGGCCACGGTAGCATCTCCAAGGAAAAAGAAAAAGAAAAACAGACCACGGGAGTCACGACAGGAAGTGGAAGAGAACGAGCACCCTGACGCCTGCCCGAGCGAGAGGCAGAGGGGCTCTGCGGTCCCTGGGAGCCCGCCCCCACCGGCTGTGAATGGCCGGCGCCCCGGGGACCGAGCAGGTACGCGCCTGCGGGGAGCGGGGGAGCCGGGGGCTGGGGCTGCGTGGGTGTGTGCCCTGGCATGGGGGCCCCGAGGAGCAGGGCTGGGCACAGGACTGCCATACGTCTAGAGGTGGGGGTAGTGCCAGGGGAAGCGCAGGGATGCGGACCTCTTACTGTGGCCCTAAGTCTGTCCCCGTGGGCACCCCCCCCCCCCGCGGGTGCAGTCAGCTGAAGCTGCTCTGAGAGAAGGCACAGGGACACGTGAATGTGTGTGTGTTCTCGAATACATGGTTTGTTCTGATTCAAGGCTCTTCCTTTTGGGAGAAGTCGCAGGCCCTCCAGCCTGAAGTTTTTGTCCAGGACTAGACTCGTGAACTTGAAGGATCAAGTTCAGAACTTAACCTTCCTCTGCCTATTGCTATAGTTGGGCCTTTCTTTTCTTTTTTTTTTTTTTTAAGATTTTATTTATTCATTTATGAGAGACACAGAGAGAGAGAGGCAGAGACACAGGCAGAGGGAGAAGCAGGCTCCATGCAGGGAACCCGATGTGGGACTCGATCCTGGTACCTTGGGATCATGCCCAGGGCTGAAGATGACACTAAACCCCTGAGCCACCCAGCTGCCCTAGTTGGGCCTTTCTGAAGACAACGTGGCCATTTGCTATTGGGGTCCTCAGGCCCTCGGTGCCCATGGCTTAGCGACTTTTCCTGGTTCTGTGTCCTTGTTTCCGTCAGGCTCAGCTGGGCTCTCCTGATACCGTGTGTCCATTAAGGGGAGGGTAGAGGGCGCCCTGCCTGGGAGGGGACCAGCATGGCCGCAGACTCTGAGCTCTGCTCTGCAGCTGGGGATCTGCTTGTGATAGTGCTTCTGGGGGTGAGCAGGCCGCTGGGCATGGTTTGTGTTGGTCGCCCAGGTGGTGCAGTTGGCTGTGTGTCTGACTCTTGTTTTCAGCTCAGGCCATGATCTTGGGGTCCTGGGATCAAGCCCCACATCAGGCTCCATGCTCAGCTTGGAGTCTACTTGGGATTCTCTCTCTCTCTATCTTTCTCTCTCTCTCTCTCTCTGCCCCTCCTGCCTGTGTGCTCACTCTCTTGCTCTTTTTCTCTTTCTGAAATAAATAAATAAAATCTTAAAAAAAAAAAAAAAAAAAAAAGACCAAACGCTAGGGCTGGGCAATGAGGAAGGTGGCCAGTACGTCAGAAGAAAGGCTGCACAAAGGTGGCAACAGAGCAGCTGGAGGTGGTCCTGAGACCGTGGGGTTTGCTCTGTTAGCTCACAGACACGGGGAGATGCCGCTGGGCCTCGGAGCCCGCTGCCTGGGGCGGGTGCTAGGGTCCCGGGGCCCCAGCCCCTCCTCTGTTTGCTCTCTGTCCTGAATATCTAAAGAGTTGGCTCCGCAGTGAAGGGCATTGACGGCTGAGGGACAGAGTGTTGCGGGTGGCTCTGCGTGGCCCCGGGGCCAGGCTGTGCTGTGGACCATGGGGCATCGCACTCGGGACCCCGAGCTCAGAGGTCATGGGGTCATTGATAAGTTGGAGGCCGGGAGAGCAAGGTTGGGCTTGTGTTGAGGGAGGGGAGTCTGTTGTGGCAGTTGGAGGGGTTAGAGGGGACCAGGCAGCGGCCGTTTCTAGAAGCCTGAGCAGGGTGGTCCGTGCTGCCACCATCCGGCTGTTGTTGGTGGCCAGGCTCTTCCAGGACAGAGCTGGGAGTCAGCCTCCCTGGGAGCTGTAGTGCTTTGTCGTACCCTCCGGTCCCCGCTGAGGCTCATTGTCACCCTTCCTGCGTCACCAAGGGCACACGCTGCCGGGTGTGGCTTTTTAGCCTTCTTTCGGGGGCTTGGGTTCTTTGGCTTTTCCAAGAGTTATTGGATGGTAGCTCCTCGGGAGGCAATCAAGTACCTCATTAGAGGCAAACGTCCGTCCGTGTCTGTGATTGCAGAGCCAGCTCCGGCTCCTCTTGGGCCCTGGAGCAGAGAGAGGGGGTGCGACGTGCTCCAGGAACTGCTCAAGTATTCGTCAGATAAAGCTTACGGGAGGAAAGGTACTGGTGTCGAGACTGGGCCTCTGTCCTCCCCTGGTTCGTTCCTTGGGCAGCGCCGAGGTCCCAGATGGACCCGTGGGTCGGGATGGGGCGCGGGCATCCCAGGGCTCCCTGACTGCCACCGTTGCACGAAGTCCAGAAGCAGCCCCCCGAGTGGGTGTGCTGTGTGGGGTCCCGAGCGCTGCCTCCTCCTGGGGGGGGCATGGGAAGCATCCGGCACCCGTGCTGTACTTCGTCAGACTCAAAGAACATGGGACCCTTGTCTCTCCGGGGAGGGCGCGGGTTTGAAAGCAGCTAAACTCGGGGGGCTGGCGGCACAGAGTGAACAAAATTTGAATTTAAGGGACAGACCCTGAGTGTCCTGCACACGGACCTCTCTGACCGTCCTCGTCCTTCTCTGCGTGCCCACTTCACCCGAGGGTGCCGCTCAAACACACTCAACGTGTCAGGAGTAGGCCCGTGGGGATTGTAGATGCTGTTCTGGAAGTGAGTACATGACCGTGCTGACGCCCGGGTCTGTTACAGTGTTGACGTGGGGCGGCGAGGTGTCGGCTGTCAGCCAGGACGCCATTGAGGACAGCAGATGGGCCCGCGCGGCCACGGTGATCGACGACTGGGACGAGGAGTTCGATCGAGGGAAGGTACGGGTACGCTTGCTGCTGGCGTGGCAGGGCGCTCACGGTGGCCCCGCTGAAGGCCGGGCAGGGAGGACGGGACCCTTTGGGGCAGTTTGAAGTGGCAGTGACATTGTAAAGGGATCGAGGACGAGGCGGGCTGCCGGGCTCAGAGGCCGGCCTGGCCCCTGTGACTGTTGTGTGGCCACAGACGAGGCGCTTGTCTCCGTTGGTCTGTTCCTTCCTTAGGAGGTGGGGGCGGGGGGGGGGGAAACTCCTCCCTCTTAGGAAGAGCAAGCCTGTTGCGTAACAATTCGAGAACCGCGGCCCCACCCAGTAGGCCTTCACTAGGGGCCCCGGCGACCGGGGGCAGGAGGGCCCTGTTGGGGAATCGTGACATCTGGGGTTTCTCCGTGTAGGAAAAGAAAGTGAAAAAGTTCAAAAGAGAGAGGAAAAGAACCTACAACGCCTTCCAGAAACTTCAGAGTAGACGGAACTTTTGGGCTGTGACTCATCCAGCTAAGGCTGCCAGCCTCAGCTACCGCCGCTGACCCTGCTGCTGTCGAGATGGGTTAGTGCGGGGAGCTGTGGGGGCGTCTGGTACACGTGCGTGCGTGTGGGGAGGTGTATGCAGCGTGGGGTGCGTGGTGAGATGTACGCTAGCGTGATGTGAGTATGCGTGCGTGTGTGCTGGGGAGCGTGCGGGGCAGGCCACGCGTTGTCCAGGACGCCACCTAATGCATGTCGCCCGTGTGGACATGCACTGCAGGGTGTCGGGGGGACCCCCAGGGCCTCCGTGTCGTCAGGAGCCGTGTTCTGTGCCCCACAGCCTCTGGACGAGGGATCCGTCCCTGGGCCCTGTCCGTCTGAACCGAAGAGCGGCCTTGTCGGGGACCCGCTGCAGGATGGCCCGCAGATCTGGGCTCCTTCGCGCCGGGACCTCTGACGGCGCAGACCCCACGGTGGCGTGCGGAGCGGGCGGCAGCACCCCGGCTGGGAGCCTGGACGGCGCGGTCTGTGGGCGAGAGTGGGGAGGACGGCGGCCGCGCCCCCGCCAGCGCGGGCTCCTCTGGGGAGCGTGGTCCCCACTGCTGCTGCTGCTGGCGGCCAGCACTGCCGTCCGGTCCCGCGCCCGGTGATCCACGGGGCAGGGGCTGTCTGTATGCCTTAGGCGTCCCCCTCAGGGCGGAGCCGGCCGCCCCACGCCGCACCCCCACCCGCGCGGCCCTCCCTTGCGCGAGAGACTCCAGGCCATCCGGAGAGCGGAAGGCTCGCAGCGGTGTGCCAACACGCCTGCCTCTGCAGCCGCCCTGGGTCCTGAGGCGGCTTTGCCCTCCCCCCAGCTGCAGCGACCCACGGGTCTTCACCGAGGTGGTGGTCTTGGGGTAGAATCCTTTTACTTTACTACTTAATAGACACGTTCATTTTGGCCAGGTCTGCGGCTTCCATTAGCAATATATTTCCTTTCCCTAAAACGCAATACTTGCTTTATTTGCTCAATTTTGTGAGTGCTTTTGAATTTAGATGATTGTAAGACTCAAGAAGATCACTTTTTTATCTTGCTCAAGCTGTGCCTGCAAACTTGTTGTTTAATAAATACGGGCAACCCTCAGCCAAGGCGACATTTCCCAGAGAACAGACACGTGACCCAGTAGCAGAGGGCACAGATGTGAGCCCCAGAGTGGCCCCCCGGTTGCCCGTCTCCACTTCCTCTCCTCCAAAACCCCACGCGCAGAGACAGACGGCGTCTGGCGTGGACCCACCTGTCCCCCGCGGCGGCTCTTCGTGGCCCGAGGCCCCCCGACAGCCTGGTCTGGCACCCCCGTGCCACCTGAGCTTTGCCGCTTCCCCTGGGGCCTCGGGGGATCCCGGGGGCCTCGGAAAAGACTGTTACCTTTTTAAGGGGGTCGGGGTCGAGGAGGTGTGTTCATGTTTTCTCGTGGGGTTTTCTTTTTGGTTTTTCTTCCTGTTCTCATATTTCCCTTTGAAAAAGATGGGGGCGAAGCGTGATGCGGGGGGCCCAGAACTGGGGCTGCCTCTGGTCCCAGCGGGGAGTGAGCGGGGCCCTGGCCGCGTGTGGGCTGGGAGCCGTTGCTCTCTTCTCAGAGGACAGGGTTCCGTGTGTGTGACCCGCTCCTCTCCTCGTTCAAAGCCGCCCCACCCCCGCCCGGTGCTCTGCGGGGCGTCGTCTGCTGCCCCAGAGGGAAGGCAGCTGCCTTTAGGGGCAGCGCATTTTTCCCCCTTTCCGCGTTGACCTTCGTTCCTGGACGGCCCTGTTTTTCTGTGACGTTCTGTAGTTGGAAAGGGAAGCCGTTGTCTGCAGCAGAGTCTGTCTTTTCGTGCTCCCTCCTCTCCGCACCAGGCTCTTCCCTGTCCGCTGTGTGATTATGAGGAAGACGTGCCCTCGTGTCTCGGGCGGTGCTGAGCACTGGCCCGCCGACGGCGTTTATCACTGTTCCGTCGGGGCGAACCCTTCCCGCCCACCCAAGGTGGCCCGGTGACCTGGGAAGGGGAAGGGTGGGCCCCGAAAGTCAGTCCAAACTCTAGGGGACGTGTAAATATGTAAATATATATGAACAACTAAAGCTTTTATAATAGCAGTCACTTGGTTGACTCAGAATGTGGGTTTAATTTAACTTTGTGTTGGGGGGGCGGGGTCGCCTCTCCCCGGGGGTCCCGGGCGGCCTCAGGCACCTGCCTTCTCCCGGTGGGCTCAGTCCACGTCCCCGAGCACCGCGCCTCCGCTCCAGGGGTGGGGTAGCCCCGATGTTGCCAAGATCCGGGTGCAATAAAACGAGTTTTTGTGAGCCCTGCCTGTGTCTTTGTGGGTTCTTTTTTTTTCCTCCCTTTGATTTTGGAGAGGGAACACCCCAGCCCCAGGTGCAGAGGACCCGTTCCCCACAGTGTGCTTCCAGGTAACCGGTCTGTGCGTGGGAAAGTTTGGAGCAGGTCTTCATTAAGGATAAAGAAGAATAAAGAGATTGATTTAAACGGATTAGGAAACACATTCTTTTGAATTCGAGAAGACCGAGGAAGCCTTTGAAGTGGCCCGCCAGGCCTCGTGGGCGATTCTCAACGGAAACTTGGGGGCCATGTTCCACCGAGGTTTGCTGCTGTTTTGAGGTTTGTTTTTTTTTTATTTTAAAGATTTTATGTATTTATTCATGAGAGACCCAGAGAGAGGCAGAGACACGGGCAGAGGGAGAAGCAGGCTCCACGCAGGGAGCCCGATGCGGGACTCGATCCCGGGTCTCCAGGATCACGCTCTGGGCTGAAGGTGGCGCTAAACTGCTGAGCTCCCCTCCCCCCCAGGCTGCCCTGTTTTGAATTTTCTTACTGAGCGACATTTGGATTTCTGCAGGGAAAGATGAGGGAAATGATAGGTTTCACTAAACCACGCGTTGTCCTCGTGGTCGGCAGAGCCACGCAGGCCTGGGCTCGCATCCCCGCGGGGCAGCCCCTGGCGGTTAGCACGTCTCCGGCCCCTCCCGCCCCGACGCCCGAGGCCAGCGAGGGAGGGTCAGGGTCTGGCTGATGACATGTCCTGGAAGTTGGGGGAGGCCAATAGGGATGGCGGGTCCCAGTGGGGACACCTGTGACCGGGAGGTTACATTTGACCAGAGCAGCACCCATGAGTGGGAGACGAGGCCGAAGCACCCCAGGCGGCAGCAGGTTTGCAGGGAGAAGCCTTTGGATGCTCCGGGACACCCCTGGGCAGGCCTGTCCCCTGAGTCCTGCCACTCCTTCCGTGCAGCGTCCCTGAGCCTCCCCCCCCTCCCCGATGCGCCCCTCAACCTGGGGACTGCACCCCGTCACCGTGGGCGCTTGGTTGGACAGCAAAGTCGGAACAGGTGAGGTGAGGCCACGCCTGCACCCAAACCAGGTGGGGCGGGGCAGTTCGGGGTGGCAAGCCAAGCCCACGTGCGCAGAGCGGGTCACGCGGGTGGTCGCACAGGCAGGACCCCGGCACTCCTGGTTCTTTCCCAAGCCGGAGCCGGAGCAGCCGTGTGTCCAGATGAGCAAGGCTAACTCTCTCGGCCTGGAGGGCGGCCTGGGTGGGAACCACGGGGAGGGTGTGCCGAGCCCTTCCTCCAGGGCCACCAGCCAGATGGGGCTCGCTTGAGTGTCTGGTGACAAAGCTTGAGTGGTGACAAAGCGAAAGCACAGGGTGTGTTTTGCTGATAATTCCGGGGTGAACCACAATTCACGGCCTCCGAACGTTGAGAGTCCCCTCGAGCCCCTGCGTTACTTTCAGCGATGGTTTACAAGGTCTGATTTGCACGTCGGAGTCCGGAGGCTGACGGCAGGGCGAGGGCCCAGGAGGTCGAGGACACGGGGAGAAGACGGGAGGATGACCAGTCCACAAACCGGCCGACAGTTGCTCCGGGCCCGAGGGGACATGGCCGCAGGAGTTGAGAGGTGGGGGTCACCCGGGTATTTGGAGACGGAATCGAGAGGAGAGGCAACAGAAGCGGAAGGTCCAGGGAGAGGATAAGACAGCTGCTGGCTTGGGTGGGCAGCCGAGTGGCAGGACCAGACAGTCCCAGAGAGGCAGGTGGGTGACAGGTGCCCCGAGCCCACGCAGCCAGGCCTCAGGAATTCGCATGTTACTGGAACAGGGACGAAGGGACAATCCCAGGTGTGAGATGCAGGTGAGCCATAAGCCCTGAGTCTTGGGATTCCAAAAAGTCCAGGTGCTTGGCCGCCCCCGGGGAGCCAGCTGGGGTCATTGTCGCACCAGCGTGCCCTCCAGCCCAGAGTAAGGCGTCAGTGTAGACAGGACACGGATAGAACGAGCTCTCAGGTGGCACCTGGCAGTGGGGTCCCCCCGGCCTGTCAGCCACCCGCGTGCTCGGAGGGGCCCCTGCCGCTCGGTGCATCCTGCGCCCCCTCCCCGGCCTGTGTCTGGAGCAGCTGGCTGGCCCTTGTCAGCTCCGCTTGCCCTTGAGATTTGTCCCTGCCCCCGCCACTGCGGTGACCCCTCCAAACGCTTTTGCTCCCACCCTGCGTGCGGGCCACTTATTCTCGGCAAAGGGTTTCTAATCCCCTTCAGGAATCCCCTCCCGCCCCAACGTGAACGTGAAGGCGGGGAACCGCCTTCTCTCCGTCTCCATCTGCTCCTTTCTCCCCCAGCCTGATGGTGCCAGCGCCCGTGGCGGAGTCGCCTGGGCGAGTGACTGAAGACTGGTATGAATGGAATTAGAATCCGGGGGAGAGGCTCGCCTCGGCATTCAGGGCCTTCCTGGGGAGTCTACTGGGCGGCCGGCGCGGGGAGGCGCTCTTCCGGTCCCGCGCCTCAAATGTGAGCGAGCATCAGGATCTCCAGGGGGCCACGGCGACACCCAGGGTCGCAGCCTGTCCCCCCACCCCCAGCAGTCTGACTCTGCCAGCAAGGGGCGGGGACGAGAGTGTGCATCTCTGACATTGCCGGGGTTTGGGGGTTTGGGGGGCGCTGGCCCTGATCTGCTGGCTCTCGCGGAGCGGTCAGCGGGGCTGCGAGTGTAGGAAGAAGTCAGGGCTATGGACGGAAGACCTACCCCCGACCTCTGGGGACGGCCGCAGACCCCAGGGGCCCCCCTCGGTAGGGCCGGTGCCCCACCTGTACTGCGCCAGCCTCTCCCGCCCCCCCGGGGATCTGTGCCCCCCCCCCGCCCGGCCCCCCAGCCACCGTCTCCCCCAGCCTGGGCTTGCCCTCTGCGCCTTTCTCACGACAACTCCACCGTTACCGTCGGCTCCCGTCGACACGTCTCACCGCCCGATGCGTGGGATCCTACTGGCAAGTTCTTGGCTCCTCATTTGTGTGCCTCCTCTTAGCGAGTCCCGGCCTGGCGGCCCACCGCTACCCCACTGCCGAAGCCAGCGCGTGGCCGCCACCCTGCACGCCTCCCTCCCGTCGTCCCCGACACACGCCAGGGACAAGAGTCCCCTCTTCCCGGTTTCCCCTCGCCTCTGCCCGGCTCTCCACTTGGGCCATCACCACTTTGCCTTGCACCCCAAAAATCAAAGCCCTGCTTCCTGCTCTGCTCTCCTGGGCCCCCCGGACAGCCTTCCAGGACGGAAAGCCCTAGGCAATCGCCACTGCCGACAGGGGTGCCCTACATCTGCCCCCACACGGAGTCACCTGGAGGCACCTACCCCGACGCGGCCTTGGAAAGCACCGGGGAGCCCAGGGCCTGGGGCTCTGTGAGGGGCCCCCAGTGGGGCGCACTGTCCTGCCTCGGACGCCCAGGGACGGGTCCGCGTGGGCCAGACCCCCTCCCGGCTCGCCGTGGAAGGCAGGCCAGCCGCGGGATCAGGACCCCCCTTCCCACCGGGCCTCTGCCACCAGTGAGCAGCATGAGTCGGGGTCACTGGTCGAAGTTGTCATGACTGTTGTCACGGTCACGCTGCGCGCCTCACCTGCGTGCTCACGTTGGTTTTACTCTATTTATTTATTTATTTATTTATTTATTTATTTATTTATTTATTTATTTATTTATTTTTGTTTTGCGCTGGTTTTATTCTGCCTCGTGTCACCGGGGTGCCGACCCCGGGGTCCTCGGGTCTGAGGGCTCCCCTCGGCCGCTGGGCCGGGCCTTCGTGGACGGCGTGCAGGGAATCCAGGTGCTTTTCCTTGAGCGACGGACTTCTCCCCGCGGCGCGGTGTTAAGCGAACGCATCGCCTTCCGCGCTAACGGCGGCGACAGGTCGAGTGTGGCCTTCGAGTGGTCGTCGCTCTCACGGTCCTACAGGCGATCGTGTTGGCACTCCTTCCTCCCCTGTACCTGTATTACTCTCGTTCCTGTCCCACTGGGCCGTGCTCAGGAGCTTCGGGTCGGCAGGGCCCAGGCCAGTGCCCCGGAAAAGCCACTTGCAGGAGCGTCGCTTATGACTGCGCACGTGGCCTCCACTCGGAAGCGGGCGCCCCCTCCACCAGCGACCCTGGCCTGAGGCGCTTCGGGCTCCACCGCTCTCTGCCGTCACCCTCGCCGAGCCCAGCCCCGTCTGGCCCCCAGTGAAGCCATTTGGGCAAAATCTGGCTGGAACTGGAGCGTCAGCCCCCCCCCCCCATATGAAGTGAGAGCCCGGATTGCGTGGCATGTGGCCAGCTGTCTCGGGCGGCGCGGGAGCTGCGGCGACAGCTGGATACAATCAAGTTCCATTACAAACAGATTTTAAGTGCCGTTCGCACGGAAGAAATCGCAAGCTCTGGCAAAATAAAATCTGGGGGTTTTCAAAGCAAGACAATGCCCCAATCTCGGCCTGCGTGAGCGGTCTGGCCTGTGGCCTCTCCTGCACCGGGAGCACCCTTTCTGCCCCCTTGCACCACCTGCCCCAACCTCAGGGCCCCCCCCCCCCCGGCCTGCCGCGTGGCCCCCAGGCTCCTGTTGCTGAGGACACCTGTCTGCACCTGTTCCGCTCGCTCACCCGGGCTGGCTCTTCCCCAAGAGCCGCTGCCCCGCCTTCCAGCTTGGCCTCGGAGGACGGAGGGCTCCCGCTGGGGTCGGGCAGGTGTCCCGGGGCGGCTCTCAGTGGTCCCATGTCTGTTTTAGAAAAAGAAACCAGAGAAAATACGGGCATGAGGAAGAATGGAAAGGCAATCGTAAAGTCCTTAGCATGGTACCATGTCTTAAAAATTAATTTAAAATAGGTATAAAATAGGTACACAGGGCGCCTGGGGGACTCAGTGGTTGAGCGTCTGCCTTTGGGTCAGTAGTGATCCCGGGGTCCTGGGATCGAGTCCCGCATTTGACTCCCCACTGGGAGCCTGCTTCTCTCTGCCTGTGTCTCTGCCCCTCTGTGTGCCTCTCATGAATAAATAAATAAA